TTAGGAAATAAGCCATCATCAAGAAAATTGTAAATACGTACTCTTTAATTTCGCAGTAATTGTAATTGATTTGTTTACAACCTATTACCATTTAAAAAAATATCAGTAATAAAATAGGTACGTTTTAAGATTATAGTTAGATCATTGAATTCTTATGATATATTATGGTTAAATCGCTGTAAAACATGAGATTAGTCGTCATTTTCAGAGACGTGTGTCTCTCGAGGCTGTGACCTCTAAAGGAATGTCCGTTCTGTGTTATGGTCTGTATGTGGAAGGAATGTACATTCATACGTGATACGTGGAAGAGTTACAGAACAAGAGAGATGGGTTCTTTCGAAATTTTTTGATGACATTTTTGAAAAAAATAAATAAAAACATTTTTGTAGTATATTTTTTCTGCTATATATTACTATTACTTCAATAAATTATTAACACACACTATAGATTACGGTGCATCCTGTGGTTAAGACAAGACGCAAGATATTTTTATCAGTAACTTACTATACAAGATTTTTCGCATAATGTAGCAGTATTTTATCATCTAATTCAGATACAAATTTGAATGGTTTAGATGATGAAGAGTTCAAGTTCTACTGGCTTTTTAAAAGATCTTCCACGTTCTAGTACATCCCGTTTAACCGGCTGTTAATCTTATTTTAAGCTGCCACCTATAAATTTCATGTCTTTTAGATCAAAATATTAAGAATTACACAGTATAAATATACCGATTTGGTGTGTTTGGATTGCTGTATGTTGGAAGTGCGGTTTGGATTTTAACGTGTAATATAAATGACCGGTTTCGAGACAGAGAGACAAAATCAAAAGCGACATACAGTGTTGCCGGTTTTTACGTTTGTAGGAAAATTTGTGTAGAAAAAAAATAAACTATTTTAAAAACTTTCCTGTATACTACTGAAATAAAGATAATATATCTAAGCTAAATATAATCTATTACAACTGTAGTAAAATGAGTAACTAATTGTGAAAAATAAGGTTGCAACCCTAGATGCAACATTTTCCATAAACGCCTACTCAGGGCCGTTCCTGGCGTTAAAATCCAGACCATACTTCTAAAATGACATTGGTATATCAAATTCTAAATAACACATTTTGTCTCTAGTGTTCAGTTTTTGAAATATTTTCAATTGAATGTACAAATGACATTTTTTGCATAGCCTGAAGATAATTAAACATTTACCTACACCGATACATATTTTTTTTAATTTATAGTAGGCAGAATATCTTTTAGAAAAGGTTTGACTCATCAATTGAGCATCAGCGACAATTTTAGCGATTTCTAATAGTTTGTGTGTAGTAAACTTTGTTTAAACTTTATTACAATGGTGACTAGCTGTTCAGCTTTCAAGCGTAAAAGCCGCAGTTAAATGTAAGAAAGAGCCAGGAGTTACGTTTTACAGGTAAGTAAACAGTCCTCTCCACCTTTTTAGCGTTTTCTTATTGAATTTGATAATTATTTTTCTGATATTATATTATGTACTTGATATTTGCTATACATTACTAGTTTTGTACCGTTTGTTAACATTTTAATACATTTTTTTTCGTAATTAATTAGTATTATAGGCGTTTTATTTATATTAGTATATAGGCGTTGTCAAAACATTTATCGAAAATATAAATATGTCTTCAAGCAGCTAAGTTAAGAAAAATATGTGCCGCGGCACTGTTTGGAGGTAAGGTAGCAATTTGGTCTTGGGTATTATTAATCCTTGTATTCTTTAGTCACTGACACTGACTGATATCAACAATACTACCGATACTACCGATATCCTATACATACAGAACAGCCATTTCTTCCTATTTTTTGTCATAAATATATCTCTCAATACTTTCATTGTTTTAGCTCGTTTGTATTTCAAAATATTAAGGATTACACAGGGTGTCCCAGAAATAAGTGCAAGTATTTTAAGGGGTGGTAGATCTCGATAAAAGAAACATATTTTCTCTTTATCGTTTTTCAAATAAGTCCAAAACAACGGAGTTATTTACTTTCCAAAAAAAATATTTTTTTGTTAAAATTTTGAGACCTACAGGATCTTTTCTGGATTTTCTTTCTTGTAAATTTAATCTACTACCTATGTTGCCATATTATCAAGAAATTGTTTTTGGCCGACCATACCAACAGGTATGGTAGGCTATTAAGATCGGCAAAAAAAGTTTTTTTAATTTCACTCAAAATAAGTTATTTGGGTCATAAATGACCTAAATACAAAATATTTTCATGCGTCTGTCTGTCCGTCCGTCCACACGTTAACTCAAAAACCGCTAAACCGATTTTAACCAAATTTGGCACAAAAATACTGTGGCACCCGAGCATCTGGCCATTAGTTTTTGGTGGTGGTGGTTACGAAGGAGGGGGGTTAAAAATTAAAAAAAATCGTAACTCCAAAATTACAGTAGCTAGCGAAACGCGGTTTTCAATTTAAGATTAGGAATAATATTTGCAACAAAATTTGTAATAACATCAAAATCAGTCAAAGTCGCAGTTTTTGAGATAATTGAAACTAAAAGAACTGCCTACCAACTTTTTATTAACATATTTTAGTATGGGCGGCTATACGTGCCTCCCGGCGCAAATTTTTTTGTATTGATTTTATTTCTATGAATTTCTTTTGATATAAACTACACTTTGTTGTTTGTTTGTTAATAAACTCCAAATTAAATACACTTAAAAGGAAATTGGATCAAACAAATATTTTAGTGTTTGCACTTCCGTTTGAAAGATTAGAAGACGGTCTCTTTCTCTTTATACAATGTTTGCCTATGCTAAGCGCCAGTTTATTGCGTTACGCAGTTCTGAACAACGAGCTCTTATGTATTTCTCCTATGGCAAACGAATCTAACTATAGAAAATAAAAAATAACGACCATCTGTTCATCGGGTCGCGCCAGGTGAAGGAAGCTCGATCGTCCTTACAACTGGTTGTTGTAACGGTCTCCCTTTTCGGCGGTTTCTTCAGACGGTTGACACGTGCCGTCGGCCCTGATATGTACGGGGTGTCCCAAAATATAGGTTTCAAATTTTGGGTTTTTGTTTTTTCCTCTTAATCAAAATTTTTGAAATTTTTATTTTGAAAATGATTTGTCTTAAGAGTCTTACAAATTTATATATTTTTTAAATTTCTAAATTTGTTAATAAGTTAAATAAATAACTTGTTTTATTTTTAATTTAAAAATAGCAAATATTATGTAGTAGATATGTTTTTTTCCAGATCTACCACACCTTAAAATATACTTGCACTTATTTAAGAGACACCCTGTAATAACATACAATAGCCTATTATATCAATACCTATAATTACTGTTGGAAAAGAGACTTCAAAAAAAATAGAAAAGAACAGAGAGCTTCTGACATCATAATTTTGTGAGAGCTGGCATTGTAGATACCGTATGATCGAAAAAAAAACCGCGTCAGCGATGACTATAAAATGAAGATCGCTGTCATTTTATATGTAAATTTATATGGGAAATGTCATCGATCGTCATTTCCCAGCCAACTGGACGCCGTTCTTTTCGATCACTTTTTCGATCATAGGTATATACGAAATTTAATCTTCAATTTTGGAATAATAATTTTATGGAGAAAATCAAATAAATACAAAAAATATTCATTTAAAGAATTCAACTTTTTAATGTAAAAAATATATTTGTATTATCCCGTATATTTATGAGCATACCTATTTACAAAATGTGCACTACTAGCTATAGCTATTCCCCGCATTTTTAATAAAAAAAAAATAATTAAGAAAAATTACGCATCTCAAATATAGAGATCACCCTGTATATGTCTCCGGATTGTCTTAACAAGAGGAAAGATGTTATATAACGTTTTAAAACAGCAAAATTATATTACCATAGAAACGCGTTTTGATTTTTAGAACTTAGAAAAAATTTAACTATATTATAATGTTTTCTTAATTTTGTCTAAAACTGTATGGGAATTTGGAAAAGTATAAACGGGATTAGACATTTTAGAACAAGCAAAAATGTTTATGAAGAATTAATTTTTCTCATAATGTCAATAATAAAAAAGTTTTTCCTCTTGTAAAGACATTCCGCGGGGACATACTGTATATATCTTTCTAATTTCATTCCATATTTACAGATACACCTCCTACAGCATAAAATATGTTTACCCTTTTATTTTTGCATACATACATACTTTCATTTTACATTTTTTACATTGAAAATTGAATAAACATAAGATTACTAAACCCCAAACTACTGATATTTGAATTTAACAGTAGGTATAGACGATATATTGCTTTTGCCATAACAGTTTAAGTATATTTTTATTTTCAGTTTTTGTATATTTTTATTTTTATATAACGATCTTAAATATATTATATTTTTAAATAAAGTTGGATTTTAGCACTTGGTTTTCACTGAATGATTCAATATTCCTTATGATTTTATATCTACTGTACTGTAAATACAAAGACGTATTATTTCAACAATATTTTTTTATTCTGTTGAATCTATAAAAATATTTAGTTACCAATGTAAATTTTTATTGTACTCCCATAGATCACCTTGAGTTTGCAGATATTTTTTGCACACCCACTTGATACTTAATTGACCTACTATACCAGAACATACACTTCTAGCAGGGCCGTTCACAAGTTATTTTATCCTGAATCCTGAGTGATACATTATTATATTAATTTTATATCATACATTTTTTTCTAATAGCAAATTTAATAAACACACTATAGATATCTGAACTAAAATATTTGGATAACCATTCTTAAACAATGTACAAATATATAAAATATATTGGCTTTTAAAATGAAAACCGCATTACTAAACTAATTCGCTAAATTTAGCCGGATGTTTTTTCTAACAAATAAAAGCCATGCAAGGCAATGAATCATTTAAAAAGCGTAGCGGGAACGAATCATTAACACGTATTAAAATTTATTAAGCCGAAAAAATAATGAACAAGCCACCAAAACGTAACAAATGATTAACAAAACTCACCAATTAGTGAAATGCATGCGGTTGCTATGACAACCCAAAGGAAAACAACGAAAAATCGACACTGGCTTTATTGATATTTTCTCGACGGCCAATGGTTAACGCGAGACAAAATTCAGTCAGTTACAAAAATATAATTAAATTGCACTAATTACGTGGAGGTTTAGTGATGAAACACAACGAGAGCACCCTACTATCCGAAAAACCGCTCGTTTACTGAACGGGGAAAAGAAACACCTTGACGTTTGGGCCGCGACAAATGCAAACAAGAAAAAAAAATACCAATGTAGTAGAATTTTAGTGGGAGAACCGCGGATGCGTCTTTCGTATAAATTTAAATTTGCCTTGCGCAACGATTTAGGCAACCAGTAAAACAAGGATACATATGTGAAGTTGGCCACAGAATCGGGGAATTACTGTACTCTTCCTCTTCGTATATATGGCACTTGTCCATCAAGGATGGGTATATTAATTAATAACATATGTCTCCTTTGTGTTGTTTATTTTATGTAAAATAAAAAAAAGGAAAAGTTGCGTAAAATTCCAACCCTGACTATAAAACTGTGGGAAGTGGGAAAACTGGGAGGAGCTTGTGTATGGAGGGCTTAATCATAGGGCTTAATCTATGGATGGTAGTTCAAATGTAACTTTAAAAAAATTTTGGATTTATTTTTGTAATATTTATTATATGGAAAAATGTAAATTTATTATCACTGTTTGAGAAACATGCAACATTTAATAAGTACTTCTAATAGCATAAATTATTATATCCAACCAAATAACCTCAACCTTGTGTGATATCATTAGAAAATAAGGTGGGGTTCTTATTTGTTTATCTTTAATATATTCAAATAAAATTATTTTCAGGCTTGACAAAATAATATAAAGATGTGTGCATTGCCTGTTGTCGATTTTGAACGCGAATTGCACAGAAAGTATTTGTCTAGATTTTTAAACCATCGTATTCCTTCATATTTGTTGAGTATGGATACAAACAGGTAAATTCCTATGATGTTTACTAGTTTTAGGAGTTAATTCGGTATTTTTTAATAGATCAGTATTAGCGTATTTTTGTATTGCTGGCTTAGATGTTTTGGGCGAAACAGAAAAGATATCGGGTGAAAGAAAACAACAAATAGTTGACTGGATTTACCGGCTTCAGATTGACAACCAAAAAGGTTAATGATTTTTAATAAAATTATGTTTTTATTGTAATTATTAATTTGTAGACTTGGTAAGTGGGTTTCAAGGATCCACGACATTAAATACAAAAGAGAACAAAGACCAGAATACGCCTTATAAATGGGGTCACATTGCAACAACCTTTTCTAGTCTATTAACGCTTTTGATTTTAGGAGATGACTTAGGCAAAGTGAATAGAAAAGGAATAATACAGAGTAAGTACTGTTGTAAAATGCTTGAGAATTTATTTTTGGAGAATGTTCCCTGGGAATGAAACAGTTAAAATGAAAAATAAAATACTTTTATAAGGGAACTTAGCTCTTTTAAGGGAAAATTCCCTAGTAATGAATGGGAATGTTCTCTTCATAGAGATACAAACTAATTTATATATTTTAATAAAACCTTAGGTTTAAGAGCATTACAGTTAGAAGATGGCTCTTTTAAGGGTGCAATCGAAGGAGCTGAAAACGATATGAGGTTTGTATTTTGTGCATCGACTATATCATATATTTTAAACGATTGGACGGGTATAGACGTCGAGAAAATGATAGATTTTATATTAAAAAGCATAGTAAGTTGGTATTTATATTTATAATAATCACATGTTTTACTAAAATAGTTTTTTTAGTCATATGACGGTGGAATTGCACAAGGACCTGAATTGGAAAGCCACTGTGGATCGACATTTTGTGCGGTCGCTAGTTTAGCTTTAAGCAATAATTTACACAGATTATCAAATAATCAGTACAAGAATTTGAGGAGATGGCTACTTTTTCGACTTGAAACAGGTAGAAATATCCAATATCTAATCTAAGTAGAAATTTTATAATAATATTTTTCTAATATAGGATTTAATGGAAGACCGAATAAGCCATCTGATACGTGTTATTCATTTTGGACGGGCGGAGCCCTTAAAATATTGAATGCATATCAATTTATAGAATCTGACAATAATCCCAAGTTTGTTTTAATGACTCAAGATAGATATGGTGGATTTTCTAAATGGGTAAGTCAAAAATAATTTCTAGTTTATTTTTTTAACTATTTCTTATATTATTTTGAAGGTGAATTCGGTTCCTGATCCTATGCATACATACTTTGGACTAGCTGGTCTTAGTTTAATGAAATACGAAAATTTAGAACAGGTTCATTGTGAACTAAATTGCACAAAAAGAGTCCATGAGAGACTAAAAACGATACATGCCAATTGGAAGTAAAGTATGTTCGAAAAAGAAAACGGCGTCGCAGTAACCCACGAGCGCGACATATTTATTAGCTATTGTTATTTCATAAGACGCGGGTTTTTTTACTGTGACGCCGTTTTCTTTTTGATCGTACGATATCTTAACTAGGGGCCTTCTGACATTTCAGCAACATATTTTTGTTTACTTTACCTCTGTTTATTAATGTAGGCTATTGTCTCTATGAGTAGATTTATAAATAACAGTGGATTTTTAAAAGCACAACCTTTTTTGATATTTTTTGAGAATTTATACAAAAAAAAATGTAGTTATACCAAGGAATACCGTAGCTATACAGTAGCGACAGTATGCGTCGGCATTTTTGAACTAAGTGCAGGGTTGCCACAAGAAAATTTTTGATTGTGCAGAACTTGACCATAAAAATGTGTAGCATTGTGTAGCCACCCATGACCAATAATAGTAAACTATCTAAAAAGACTATGAAAAAGACGTACGTTCACCAAATTTTAAAACATGGTGGTAAAACGAATGGAGTCTCACTTCCACTCGTTTGTATACGTCAATATATTCATTTCCCATTTCATTTCCTCTCATGCCAGCAAATATTGCCATGACGTCAAAATTCATGTCGCGAAACTAACGATTTTATGGACAAATTAGACCGGTTAAAAAAGTCTGTATAAAAACTCTAAACAATTCAGGACTGTTTAATCGGCCAAATTTGTCCATAGAAACTGCAGTCCTTGCTGATATGAGAGGAAGTGAAATAGAAATTGAATATTATTCACGTATGCCAACGAGTAGAAGTGTGACTGAACTACAGTGACGTAATTGAGGCAGTGAAATTTGGCCAAAGTACGTGTTTTGTATTATTTAAGGAATTAAACAATCCTCTCTATTTACCGTTTTTGACTCGACCAATAGACGGTCCTTGATTCCTGACCCAGTTCATACTCTGATATTTTACTGAACACCTGAACACTGATGACGGAAAATGATATTTGTCAGTTCAAAATTTAAAGTTCAGTTGTGGCCTCTTTTAATGTAACTTAGATAACTTAAAAGCAAAAAAAAACAGCTTTTGTCAGCTAATTTACTGTTCTGGTATTATTTTTTATAAGAAATATGTAAATTCTCAAAATGTGTAGCACAGCCGATTGTGGTGTAGCTGTGCAATCATGGAAGAAGATGTGTAGCAAAATACACAATTGTGTAGCTTGTGGCAACCCTGCTAAGTGCTGAAAATTATCAAGTCATATTTTAAAAATTAAATTCAATAAAAAACCTAGAATTTTATTGATGAAGATTTATTAAATACACTGAGAAAAAATATTTTTTTTATACAGCTCTTTTTATTGATACAAAATAACAGCTACGATAACTGTTATTTTTTTATTGTTTTTACGTTTTAACAAATTATATACAGGGTGTCCCACTTAAGATGGAAACAAGCCAATATCTTGGTTGTTTGTTGAGTCTTATGGCTATAAGACGTACATTTTGCCCAGGGTAAGAAATGCGATACCTCATAGACGTACGTTTTAATGGGGTGTGATATTTTTCGAGTCAAGAGTAAACTACCCTTAGGACAGTATTTATTTCAAATCTGATAAATTATATTGAATCCTCCTTACCTAAGATACTTAAGTTCTAACTTTGATAAATATTGATACAGGGTTCGTCATTAAAATAAGACATTTTTATTTTTATTATTATTTTTTTAAGTACTTACGACGCCACTGGATAAACAACAGGTTTATTATCAGTAACCAATTATCAATTAATAATCGATTTAAGTTTTCAGATAGCTTCCATAATAATTAAGATACGATACAAAAAACTAAATATTTTCAATTTATTTTGTTTACTTTAAAAATTGTTTTTTAAATTTGCTAATACAAATGAATAAAATAAATTACAAAATAATTTAAAAACCCAGTTTTCAATGGAATCTGAAATATGATTTTTATTCGTTTTATTGAGGAATATTTAAAAAAATTCAAATAGTTAGATAAACAATCACTATTAACTTAAAAAAAGAAAAATATGCTCTAAACAAAGATTTATAAAACTATAACGAACTAAAAGTCAACATCTTCGACCAAACCACCATAAAAAAACGATTATTAATTGATAATTGGTTATTGATAATAAAAACCAGTTGTTTATCCCTTGTTTATCCAGTGGCGTCATAAGTACTTAAAAAAATAACAAAAATAAAAATATCTTATTTTAATGACACACCCTGTATCAATATTTATCAAAATTAGAACTTAAGTATCTTAGGTAAGGAGGATTCAATATAATTTATCAGATTTGAAATAAATACTGTCCTAAGGGTAAAAAATATCAAACCCCATTAAAACGTACGTCTATGAGGTATCGCATTTCTTACCCTGGGCAAAATGTACGTCTTATAGCCCATACAGCCTCCTGCCAAAAATGAAAAAGATCGCTCAACAAACAACCAAGATATTGGCTTGTATCCATCTTAAGTGGGACACCCTGTATAAAAAATCAGGAGGAAAAAATGACATTTCTCTTCTTCCTTTCAAACCTAAGTCTATAAAAAAAATTAAAACATGCCTATAAAAAGATTAAACATAAGGGAATATATTAAACTAGCGTGTACCAGCGACTTCGTTCGCGTCGAATTAATCAGTTGTAATGGTACACCCTAAAGTCAATCTGTTTTCCAAAAATCAGCTTTTTACGTCAAGCGCTTTAAGCAGGATCGTTATTAATCAATGACCAGATTTTTCGAAACACCCTGTATACATTTTTAAAAAATCTTAAAATATGCAAAAAAAAAATAAAATATACGTGTTTAAGCGTTTTTTTCCGGAAACTTGACCGTTTTTTAAATAAAAAATATTGTAATATTTGAGGGGTGGTTTCACCCCCTTGGAACTGGAATTTCGAAAAATCACTCCTTATCGAACCTCTACACTCTAGAATCAACCTGTATGCCAAAATTGAGCTTCTTACGTTGGGTGGTTTGAGCAGGATCGTGATTAATCAGTATGTCACTTAAGGATTTTATATATTAGTATAGATTACAGCTCTTTAACAAAAAAACAGGGTTTTTAAATTACCTTTATTAATTCGAAAAAGTATTTGCTTGGCTTTTTTACACGTAAAAAATAGTTTTCTACATTACGTAGGTCGCCTTTTAAATTTTTACAAAAAGTGAAACAGAAACCAACAAGTTTGAAACAATATGTTTTATTGCTTTTCGGAATATTCGCCCTTAAGGTCTATACATTTTTGCATATGCTCAAACCAATTCTGGAAACATTTTTTCCACTGGTTTTGAAAGTTTTCAACAGTTTCTTGAGGTGAGGAAAATCGCTGTCCGCGCATCTTTTGTTTGACAGTGGGGAACAAGAGAAAGTCATTAGGCGATAAATCGGGTGAATACGGGTAATGAGACATTAATTTGATATTTACCTCCTTCAAATATTCAGTTGTTTGACGTGATTCATGGGAGCTGGCATTATCGTGATGAAGAATGATGCGACGATTTTTTTTCTTATTTCATCGAAGACCGTTGGTAAACAAATTGTTATATACCATTAGACATTAACAGCTCTTTGATCTGCTAATGGCATGGTTGCGACGTGTCCAATACAACCGAAGAAACAAGCGATTATACAAACTTAAAAGGCAACCTTATACTACTTTTTTACACGTTGTCTAGTAAATTAACCATCAATTAACCAAAATTTAACAACTGACGTCATTAAAATTGTAATCTAAAGATATAAAAAACTCATTTAAAATTTAGTCCACGAAAAAGTCGCTTCCTGATTAGGAATTCTGCGCCTATATGTTGATAATGTAGCTTTTTACCCGGTAAATAAAAGGCAGAAATACCAAAGACTGTTTATTTTGACTTACACTTACACTAAGAGAATAAAATCACAGATATCTTATTGTATTAACTAAATTTCGCAGTAACTGGAACATTTGTATGGGGGTAACAAGTTGCAATAAACCCTTATAAAAAATTCAATAAAAAAAGGTGCATAATATTGAGAAATACGTTTTTAATTGTTCCTATAACAGACGATAAAAAAAACGAAATGTGTATAAGTTAAAATAGTTAAAATATAACATTAAAAATTATAAATTTTCTTCCGCTCATGCTGTTCTAAACAAAATGAAGTACAGTAACAAAATATAAACACTATAATACACACTTATGATTAAATATTCTACACAACATTAAAAAACTTACACTAGTCATAAAAATATTTGCTTAAGGCTGCACATATTCAGCATCTGTTACGAAAATGCTGATGAATATAGAATTTTTTAACTGACTATGAAAGACTGTATGCAGTACATGTTTTCTTTGTTAAATAACAGATTATGAATGATATGCTACCCTAAAATTCTTCTCTTTTGTATGTAATAATTTGAGGTATGAGTTTTAAAAAGTATGAAAAAAATGTTATAGCACAGTGGAGTCGTAAGTATATCTTGACGTATCAATGGCAGCATTACTAGATTTTTTTATATATTTTTTCGTACAAATTTTAAAAATAATCTTCCAATATAGTCTTCTTAAATAAGAGTATTTCAAGTTTTATATAAACCTAATTTTATTAGACTATCCATGTATGTCAATAATTAATTTTAGTTCAATTTTACCTTTTCGTCCAGAGAAAAAAAAACGGCATGACAGTGACCTTCGAAATAACAATTACTGATATTTTGTGTCTGATCAACTTATTAATGCAATTTAGTTTGCATAAAAGTTGTCAAATATGATCATATATAATTTAGAAAAATCGGAAAAGGTTTCCAATTAATTCAAATCTTTTTAAATATTAATTTTTGATATTTTTTTATGCTAATTTCGAACACACGTCATATTTTAGGTGTCAGCACGATAGAAATTATAATCAATTTTCAGTTCAAAAGCCACTGTGACACCGGTTTTTATTCAAAAGCAAGACAAAAATAATTATAGTAATAATAATATTCTCGTATTTATTATTAAAAGGTGCATTCACACCGCAACACATTTTTTTAACATGCACTTTTGAAGTGTATTTTTTTAGCGCGCACAAAACTATATGTTAAAAAAATCATTCGCGGCGCGGCGCGGAGCTGCGCAGCCGGCGTGAACGCACCTTTAGAGTATAAAAAATAATTATTGTGTGACATTAAACTCTAAAAAACTCACTGAAAATTGAAATCTTAGTCTTATTTAAGAAGATCAACAATTTTTTTGTCCAAAATAATATAATCTACGAATTATACTCCTGTGTTCTGTTTGAAAATTTTGGTTATATATTATCATTACATAATATTTTATGGTATTGCAAAATATAAATTTAGTTAATAAAAGAACAGCAAATATATTTTCTGCTTATGGTTATCTTATTTTACTTTATTAAGGTTTTTGTACCAGTCTGTTTTTTGTAATAATAACGTAATAAAGTACCAAATGATCAAAAAAATACGTCACAGTCACCTCTCAATTATGAATCAATAATGATTTTTGTCGTGCCGATCCCTATATCGTATTTATTAAAAAATTACAATTTGTTAATTAGTATTTGAACGAGAAAAAGCAAAAATTTTCCTTTATTTACATCAATCATTCTACATTCTAAATCTTATTTTTTTGGAATCAAATATTATTTTTTTGACAAATTTTTATATCAACTTTTAATAAAGAACGCGAGGAACCAATCCGAATTATCAGTTGTATTTCAAAGGCTACTGTGACGCCGTTTTTTTCGATCGTATAGTACAACAACAGAACGCAGGAGTGTTTTTTATAAATTAGCTCTTATGACAAAAATATTTAAAAACCTGTAAAATTGTTTACACCGTTTAAGAATCATTTTATATTGATAAATCAACTGCCAAAAAACGAGACTTGTAATAAAAATAGTATAATATTATTGTTTTTGGTAAAAGGCGTTTTGTAAATAAAACCTTTTATTAAACGGCAAAAATTAAAAATGAAGAAATTGTTTTTTTGTTGTACCTGCAGACTCTATCTAAGACATGACGTCAATTTCTCTGGGCGATGCTAACGCGGGGGGCACTACTTGAGGTATGATATTATGAGATGGGGAATTTCCTAAAGGTTGTCTCACTCGGTTTTCGGCATTCTCCCTGGCTTCTGTCGTGGCTTGTTTTATAGCGTCCTTATAAAAATCTTTTCTCTTTTTATTGTAATAAACCTATAAAAGGTTACATGTAAAAGAATACGTGTTTACATAGTTTAAGTTTTAATATGATATAGTCTGTCCAATGAGTCGAGGAAGAATTCGACAGATGACATCCAAATTTACCTGTGAATAAATACGACAGACATAACTGTGACTGTCACGGATCGTCTCGTTGGACAGACTATATAAAGACTGTTCAGTCTGTCATCATTATTTGTCAAATGTGAGTTTTAGGGTGTGTCTGAGATTAGTGCATATTGTTTAGAAAGTTTTAAGTACGTTCCTATATTATTGATTGAGCAAGATCCGTTTTTTTTGCAGTCCTTTAATTGCAGTCCTTTGGAGTATTGAAATTCCTATTTCTAAAGCATCAGTAACTCTATTTTACACAGGAAAATTACACCATTTACATTGTGCTTACTTCATACCGTGCTGGCAACTGTTTCTTTTGGGTTGGTATTTACATGTGTGGAAGTAAATCGCATAGGGATCTTATTAAGTCGGAGTGAGATAAATGCGACTGTGTGCTGTTGCGGCGTGGCCGGTACGCCTTTCCCTCTCAAGTAAAGTAAAATCACGACAGCAAACCGCTTATTTACTTAGCAATTTTCAGCAATCGTGTAACGTTTTATTTATAAAGATTTTCACATACTGTCTGCGAAGAAAATATAGCAGAAATGTTACGAAAGTTTTTGAAAAAACTACAATCAATTATTTCTAATAGATTTCGAGATATCGACTTTTGAATTTAGAGTTCTAATAGCGCGACCACTGTCGAACACCAACTCAATTCCACTTATTTTTACCAAAAATGCATGTTTCTAACTAGCACTTAATTTTCAAGCTATAGGGAAAATTACAACGATTCGTTACTAAATAAACAAACAAAGTATCACGAGACGTAATTAAATCGTGAAGCTGAACGCATGATGTACACCTTTCACTAGAACTCTAAGTACTGACAGAGGTACTGATTGGGTCAACCGGTGGACTGCGACAAATCTGCTATATCCCCTTCCATGTCTCTTAGCAATGCCCACAGTTTCTCGGTTTATTTCATTGGTTTGGCAACGTGTTTACTGTTCTCTCTTTGTTCAGTACATTATAAACGCATTATACTCTTCTTACACACGGAAATCTCGACCCAAGACTAACCTGTGCCAGCCCTTAGTATACGGCGTCCAAGAGCAACAGTGTTCTATCAGCGTCTCTGAGAAAACTAATTTACAAGCTTAGCAGTGAGCTCTTGTTCATTTTGGTTAAATCTTTGAGGCATTATTGCAATAAAAAATTGAATTTTGTTTTTTTACAGCAACAAACAAATTTTAATTTTGACATTGATTGAAATTATAATCCCAAATCAAATCACAGACAATTACTAAAAAGAATATGCAGTAATATACGAAATGTCGTAATGACGTCACCAATCTCTTTCATCTGGTTTGCAAGTGATTGAGAGAGTTCCCAATATACGACGTGACGTTGAACGATGGCTGAACATTCTATACATAAAGTCTGTGTAAACATCACGCAACATTACGTCAATAAGTAAACTTGACGAAAAAAATAACAACTTACCTTAAAGTTATCTAAATAATGGCTCAGTTGATCACATTGGACCAGACACGAATTCGACGTGCCATACCAGGCCACGTGAGCTTGAGGACCTCGAGAATTGCCATTGGTTATGGTAAGGATTTTTCCAGGCCACCATGGAAAACCGCGAAGTTTTCCCCATACTACATCTCCCACAAAAAATCTAACCCCTAAAAAATACGGTTTTTGATGTATGTATAATATACAGCAATAGATTTGTAATGGTAAGAACTATGATTTCTACATCTCCAAGAAGACTATGTTTAGCTATTTGTTTTAATATGTATTGAAAAATTTGGATTGTGTCTACGAGGGTAGTCTGAAAAGCTTCCGACCTTACCTTGTTACTTGTTTATCTCTTAAAATACGCCCATTTATATTTTCAGCCAATTATCGATGCTTAGTTGTTGTTTGAGAGCTGTTTAAGTGATGCACGTCATCAGTCCTACTGAAATTAACACTAAAGCCTATAAACCTGACTAAATGAAATTTTGGCAAAAACGTTTAAATTTGTTGTCTAATTTAAGATACCAAGCAGCTCTTCATTTTACTTCATAGAGCAAATGATTGTAACAGATATTTTATTTAGATTAAAGCTGCAAAAATTAGTTTCAAGCGAATTTTATTATCGCCATGTTGGTCACATTGCGGCGCGATCAGCAACGTTGTTTATTATTTGACAATTATCATAATGTGAGACATTATTTTGTATAATATTGTGTTGTTGAATCTTAAGGAGTAATATTCTCGTTTTTTGCCGATTTTCATAGTTTTTTTAAAATGTATTTTCAAGCACAAACAGTTCTTTTAAGAACTAAATTTTCGAGTTTTTATATTGCATTTCTTGAAATTGTGTGTCGAAAATATGCCGAAGCATTTAAACAGTCGAAGCAAACAGCTTGTAGCTTATTACCCTTGATTTATTAATAAATAAACTATTTGTTTGTTAATAAATAAATTAATTACTAAAATATTAGTTATTAAATTAAAAATAAAACGCGCGTAAAAATTATTAAAAAATGATATAATAAATACATTGTTTCCCAATTTTACATTAAGATTCATCTCATAAATCCATCGCAATCTGGCAGCGCTGTCGCCAACGCTAAGGAGCAATATTTTCCTGAACTATTTTACTGACAAAGACTACTACTGTGAACTACTACCGTATGATAAAAAAACGCGGCTTGGAAATGACGATCGATGTCATTTCCAATATAATTTTACATATAAAATGACAGCAATTTTCATTTCATAGCCATCGCTGACGCAGTTTTTTTCTTCGATCTATTCTACTTTGAAGAGTTAGTAAGGTAGGCACAATGTTGCGCGAAGTGTGTGGCTTCAGAAGAAGACTATGTAGAAAAAAATGTTCTGTATCATTTTGAAGTCGGAAACTCTTTGGACTACTCTCGTAGGCGTGTCAATCGAAAATACATACCGTCGGCTCCTAAAGCACTTGGCAGTTCCTGAGCGTTCATCCGAAGCATTAATGGAGGGTTGGGCGGGGGGAAATCAGAGATATGTTCGTCCGAACTGGATGCCGACTCGTCCTGCGTCGCAGAAGAGGTGTACGTGTTGTTCAACCTTTTCAAATTGATGGATAGTTTCTGCGTAATACATTGTTCTTTGGTTTCATCTTGAGTGGAACTACTGACCTTTAAATAAAGATGAAATTAACTTTCAAGGTTATCCTCATATTTGACCACATATACAGCTAGTCAAATATAGGATGATATATAGCAGGGTTGGGTAACGACGCGTAGAAAATTAATTTTCTACGTGCATGTAGAAAAGTGCGTAGAAAATGTAGAATATTAAGTAGAAAATGTATAAAATGTGAGAACCGGTACAAAATTAATTTTGTATGTTTAAACCCGTTTTTTTTCACTTTAAAGGTTTCTTTCTTTCTATTTTCTTTAAATTCTATAAGTGTTAAAACTGTAAAATGAGTGCGCGCGCTATCTCTCTATTCTGTGACGGTACTAACTTCCTGAAGAGACAGCAATCGATCTGAAGACTATTAGAATATTTTTTCTGTTTAATCTGAAGACCGTACAGAAAAGTCTTTTTTTCTTTGAAAGTTCTCAGTGCTCCTCCTCTTTTTAATTTCTTACTTTCGTTATGTTAGATGTTATTTTATTTTGTTCTGTTTGAATCTGACCAAAGTTTACAGAATTGTAACCTTTAAACTGTAAACTTTGATCTTACTATTGAAAACTTTTAAGATATCTGTAAACTTCGACTATAGTGTGTAACAAATCAAGGAAGATTTTGACGTACGACATCCAGAAGATGACAGAAAATGCGATATGTCTGTGAATTATAATGACACGACAGTCACTGTCACGCATCCACCCGTTGTACATATCAATTTAAAATAATATGGAAGTTAAAAGTTTTTTTTGACATACTACATACTACCCATTTGCTAAATAATAAATAACAATTAAACCTCTTTCAATACTCGACTATCTACTATGCATCAAGGTAGGAATGTTGCGTCAAGAAATCGATATATCATTCTATATTTGATGAGTTGAAGTACTGTATTTCTTAGCTGTATTTTTATCACTTCTTTCAAAAATAACTCCACAGTGAAATATAAACAAAGGTCAACTTACTTACCTCGCCCTCCTTATGCTTTTTTTCCTTGTCTTCTTTGTGTTTCTTCTTGTGCTTCATTTTGTGTTTTCTACGTCTAGGAACTGTAATTTCAAAAGAGGATATCACGTATCTCGGCGAATAATTACCTAAAATACAGTTTTCTCGTGTGTAGAGAAACTCTGCATTAAAATTAGTCAGTACATTATTTTACTTCATTACTGATCATACCATTTATATCACTTTCAAACATCAATACAAAATAAAATTTATATTATTTGATAAGCAGTAACTTGAAATAATGAAATCACTTTATAAAAAATATAAAACTCGTGCAGTTATCTATAAATAAAATTTACCTAACCCTTGCCTAGGCGACGTACCACCAACGGTATATCTTGGACTGGAACCACCCAAAGTATATCTAGGAGACGCCGCTGGACTAGTCAAATATCTTGGAGAAGCCCCTCCTAAAACATCAATAATTAAATGGGATCTATATAATATCAATGGAGCAAGATCACGTGAAGTGGGTCAACCATGAGCCTCTTGATCACAGAATTCAAGTTCTAATCCTCTATATTTGTTCTTCTCTGACAATTTTGAAGTGATACTTCTTTACCCGCGATGGGAGTAAAAATTCAAGGCCGCGACACACGAGACGCGAGAGGAAAAGTGGTAACGATCTTGGAGCGTCGTAACTCAGGCTCTATATGAGCTAGTGGGCTGAAACTCGGAATGTAGATGACATCTTTTCATGATATTTTGACGACGTTTCGTGCACTATGAAACCCTGTGAAACTATGAAACCATCATCAATGGCGAAAAAAAATATATATATAGATTAAAAATCTGGTATGTCGATATATAACACCAAGGCCAACTTGACCGTGTACGACACTCTGACAGTTAGTTTTGACGTAAGAAACGTCAAAAGTTGATGTCCGATCGCGACCAAATTTGGTAGGTAGGCTATGTGAGGGACGGTGCACACGGTTCCACCCTGCAAAGTTGGATACGGCGTTTCGTTTACATCTTCTTCAGGGTGGGACTAAGGATTTCATATTGAAGAAAAATGTGAGTCGATTTCGGCATAATTGAGGACGGGCTACAGGATGACGCCCTCGACGTTTCGAACCGATGCACAGTGCTTCGTCCCATGGACAAAAATCGAAAAAAAAGTTAAAATTTACTAATATCTGAATATGCAATTTTATACTTATAGCAATGTTCAACCATCCTGTATATTATTTTTCATAAACAGCGTTTTTTTTGTTAGCAAATATTTTCACTAAAAATAAATTTTGCGATCATTATCTTATATCAATGAAAAGAATAACATTCATAGTAGTTCTGTATATGGAGTTAAACGTAAACGAGTTAGTACGTACTTAATTAAAAGCCACTATGGATATTGTTAAACAAGGTATGTACTTTAAATTTATTTCTAAACAAGTTCGTGATTGTTTAGTTTTTATTTATTTTTTAAGATGATTCTTAAATGGGTATAAAAATTTTACGTTTTCAAACTTCAAAAAGGCATTTAAAAAAACATATCAAAACATATCGTATTTATTGAATATTTTTGTTGTCATATTCATACACTTTTAATTTTTGTATAATTAACCTGCGTCTGCTTGCGACGAACTTTATTTTATAATACTTTTCAGATGGAGTAAAATTGATAAGCAATGCCGATCTGGTTTATACTTGGCTTGATCATAAGGACAAGAACTCAAAATTATTTGTATTTCAAAAAATGTGTTCTTTATTAGATATTGATGAACCTTCCTGTCAAATGAGACCATTTGTGCCTGAAAAAGCCCACAATTTTGGAGCGAAACGTGGCATAAAAAAGTTTCCATCTTTCAGTTCATTATAAAACCTCATACCCAAGAAAACGAAAAAATAATATATTGATATGGTCTATTAAAGAGGTAACTATTAACATCCGAACCCCTCATACCAACAAAAAGAACAGTAACAAGGCGAAAAAGTAACATATTAGAAAATGATATACAGAAATATCTTATATGTGAGGATATTTCATCTACCTGTGATTTGGATACTATAAATTTGGAAGATTCTGTCAGCAGTGATTCTTCTGAATCAGAGTAGTTACGATCTATGCATTTTGTTGTCCTAAAGTAAATTTATAGTATCTTAAGTTTTTTTTTAATTAAATATAGCATTAATGTTTCTTTTTCATTAAAGAAAAACATTTTTATCTTATATTGGTTTATATTGTAGGAATCATGTTCTAATGTTATTCCAATTCTTTTTTATCACAGGGATTTATTCAATATTTACACCGTTTTCATACTATAAATTATTATTTCCTTAGATGGAACACAGCTCCCACGTTTTTATTATTTATAAGATTTTTTTTCATAAACGTGGGACTAAGAACATCATCATTTAGTACAATGAAAGTACTCATCATTTGTGTCAAATAAACCTAGTTTGAATAAATTGCCTACAATAAAAGAGAAGTTTTGCATTTTTGTCCTCTAGAGCCATATGTTCGAAGCACTGTGCGATGCCTCTAAATGGACGAAATTATCAGGATTTTTCTTAATTATTGGTCGACTGGAACCAAACTCTGCACGTGGATAGAGGTACCCGAATGGAGTCCTCAGACGAACAGACAGACAGACGAAAGAAAGAAATTTCATTCAAATATGCGCACATAGTGCACACACAATTTTTTTTTATTCTTTTGAAGATTTTTTATTCCTGTATTTTTGGTGTCTGAAATGAAACTTGCTGTTCAAAAACACCGCAAGATTCACTCTCGACTTCAAGGTATTTTTATAATTTAATTACAAATGTATGTTTTCAGAGTCATAATTATGAAAATATTCCAGGCCTTAGTTTTTGGTAAAGTCTACTTTAACTAAAATACATGAATTCTATGATCAAGTGGAAAATGGGGCATCTAACGGATGTGATCATGCTTAGTATCTAATTCCTTACCCAAGTACAATGGACTACCACCCAAAAGAACTTTCCTCCTGGCTTCCTTCTTGGCCCTCTTCATTGCCTTTCTCGCAGCTTTAGTATTGGGCACATTAACTCGGCCGGTAATGTTGATGTTTTCCTCCGAATCATCGTCTGTGATATTGTCTGGTTTGGAAATTTCGAACATTACTATAATCTGTGACGGATCGTGACAAGTTTAACGTCGTCACAGGTTTAAATTAAGCTTCAACTAAACTACTGTCAAATTATTATTTTAGATCAATATACATGAATATACTCATACCTCTCTCCATTGGTTATAATATGATTTCAACAGTTAAATAGAGGTATACAGGATGAACAGGTGCTTCAAAAAGGCTGTGGTATCAGATTTTTCATTTGAAATTTTCACTCTAAAGCTTTCTCAACATTTTAAAATCAAAAATGTGTTATAATTGTTTACTGAATATGCAGTATAGTAGTGTCTTCTTCAAAATTCAGTCTACTAAAATTTTCATGTTATTTGATATGCCGGGTGCGTCTCAAAAGTGGCTCACCTCTATAACTTCTTTCAGGTAAAAAAACTAGATTTGGTATGTTAGTATATGACATAAACTAGGGATTGATTGACGTATTCAATTATTTTCTGCCACTTCCTGTTTCACCGGAAATTACTACAACTTTTGATTTTTAAATGGCACCCTCGGTATTTTTTTACTCTATTCGATAGAAAATAACAATCTGAATTGTTTGACATATCATATGTCAACTTTTGACATTTTTTGCTTGAAACAAAATTGTATTTTAAATTTCAATCTAGAGTGCCATGTCCGTGTTAAAATCACTAATTTTTAATCAAGGAACCTTGAAAAAATAGATTTGATTTTTTTTAAATAGATTTGATTTATCTGAAAAAATAAAAAAGTTATAGGGGGTGAGTTTTTTGAGACGCACCCGGTATACAGGGCGAGCCAAAACTAAATGTATTACTCTCTCAAATGAAACATCCTATTTTTTCTATGATAAATAAACAGCGTTATGTTTAATTATTTTGTTTTGTGCAGCACTTTGTATACCTGAAAAATCGATATTTACTAAGATTTTTTTTAAATATAACACAATATTTGTTTTTGTCATTATCTTCGAAATATTTTTAAACCGCGCTTATTTTATAAAAAAAATTGGAGCAAAAATCTCAAATAGAAAACCCGATGCGGATCACTTTCGGAACACTGTCTCACCCTGTATAATCGTAAAAGTTAAACAAGACATCACAAGAGACAGAAAAAAGAACCAGAATATTTTAGAGTTAATGCTTGTGAGGTGATAAATGAAATTTTAGATGAAAAATGCAAAAGAATAGCGAGTTCAAGTATCATACTTACTGTGATAGAATTCAAGGTATCACAGAAGAAAAAAATATTTGTACAACACTAACTAACCTAAAGAACTAATTTGCAGTGATCATATTGCAACTACATATAAAAAAAAACTCATAGAAATGTAATGTATAAGCGATACCAATTAAACTTTTAGTTATGTAATCGAGGGCGCGATTTTTAAATTCATTGTTGCCAACCATGGACGTATTCGACGCCGGGCTGACTAACTGAAATTTAAATTTCCCGCTGGGGATACAGGTGGTAGTTCTGCTGTAAAGAATGTGAAGTTGTCACATTTATTTATTTATTTCCTTAAGTTTATATATATAAGTTTTTGGTTTAAATGAATTGTGGTTTGGAATTTTTTACTAGTAGACCTTGCAGTCGAACACTGTTGTTTTTAGAACTTCTTATAGTGCAAAGTGTATAAGATAGCTTAAAAGGCGTTGCAAAAAACTAATCGCAACCTTATTACAATATTTTTAACAGGAAAGCAGTAGTAGTAGCCCTTTATGTCCCTTAAGTGCTGTTAAGAAAGTGAGTTTTGTTGATGTAAATAACAACTGTTTATACAGGGTGCTACAAATTCGAGGTACGAGCATTGGTATCTCCGTAACCGTAATAGATACGAAAATAGTTAAATAGGGGTAAAGTTGCGCTTCGGGATGTTCACCAAGATGCCACCAAAAAAACTTTTAAAAATTTCAGGGATTGTTGAGTTTTTTGGAAGTTCTTCCTGTCGTTACTTTTTAGAAAATCAAAAAACTAATTGCACATTCTCATAGCCACTTTATTAGGGCTATCTGACAGTATTTTTAGATTTTCAAATTAGCTGATAATTTGTCATTAATAAATACGGACCTGCATTTTTTATTTCAGATTTTGAAAGAACTCGGTCTCCTGAGTACAATGATATGCCACACTTAATATTATTTTTTTTGACATTTGAACCAAATTATTAAAACTAATTGCCGGTGAAGTCCGGCTCTTTTTTTTTTAATATTTAATGTATTCATCGTTGCGATATTGAGTAGCATTCAAACTTAACAATGAAGCTTATAAACAAAATTTAATAATTTTATTAGAATTGCTATGTGGAACGCAAATGGCCTCCTACAACACAAAAATGAGGTTGACGTGTTCCTGCATCAAAATCTGATAGATGTTTTATTAATAAGTGAAACCCATTTTACAGATAGATCCTATTTCAAAGTAAAACATTGAATACGGAAAATCAAATGCAATAAAATTATATAAAATAATTAATATAAATATAATATAATATAAACAATCAAATCATTTTCCCGGAAGATGGATTGGAAATGGTAGAGCAGTATAATGTCCAGCGAGGTTACTGGACCTATCGCCAAGTGGCTTACTTGACGTCATTTGTAAAAGTGAAATCAATTCATCTCAACATTTACAATAAAGAGTACAAAATGCATTCGGAAATATAAGAAGAAAGTTCAAAGAGCTATAAATAAAATTGAACGAAAAATAAGTTTGTGCAATAGGGAGGGTGGTAACCCTTTCGAACATGTAGAACATTAGAAACTAGTGTTTTAGAAGTTGATTTATTTATAATAACTACGATTAATATTGTGCATATTATTAGATTGCACAATGAGATTTCAAATTCACAAAAAAAAAGTTAAAAATAATATCTTTAAATTTCTGACCTGGATATTATTTATTTGAATCTTCCAATTGGCTCGATTTTCCTTATTCAATGTTAATTAGCGCTGATCAATATTGTTGCGATGAATATAATCAGATTAAATAATTTAAGAAACCAGAGTCGGATTTGAAATTATTGTAAATAATAATCAGACAGCCCTAATAAAGTGGCTATGAGAATGTGCAATTAGTTTTTTTATTTTCTAAAAACTAACGACAGGAAAAAATAAAATTGATTTTCAAAAAAATCCGTTTTTTCCAAAAAAATCAGCAATTCTTGAAATTTTTAAAACTTTTTTGATGGCATCTTGGTGAACATCTCAATGCGCAACTTTGCCCCAATTTAACCATGTTCGTATCTATTACGGTTACCGAGATACCAATGCTCCTACCTCGAATTTGTAGCACCCTGTATACTTATAATTAATTAATTTTTGTTTTCTAAAATATTTCAATTAAAAGAAAATATGTAAAAGTGGGCAACGTTGTACCGGTCGGGTTTAACCACGTGACTAAAAGTTTAATTGGTATGAACTATAGTTGCAAATTGTTTCAATACTTTCATTCACGAGATACTGTACTTCGAAGAAAAAACTAGCAATTTGGAGGTAGTTAACAAAAATCTATTAAAATTTTTGCAGTAACACAATAAAAAAATTAAATTAAATAACCTATCTGCGCCGGTATTTTCAACACCGTTCCTTCGCCTTGAGGTCCGTACGATATTTTGATCGTCCTCGTACTAGGTACTACACTGCCTGACACTACACTAGATGGCTGATCCGAAGTCGTTGCTAAAGTATTGCTATCCTCGTCTGTCGCATTTGTACATTTTTTCTTTCTACATAGTCAAAATTATTTCAAATTTACTTACCTATCAGGGTTGGGTAACGACGCGTAGAAAATTAATTTTCTACGTGTATGTAGAAAAGTGCGTTGAAAATGTAGAATATTAAGTAGAAAATGTATAAAATCTGAGAACAGGTACAAAATTATTTTTGTATATTTAAAGCCGTTTTTTTTTCACTTTAGAAGCAGTGGCGGCTCGTCAGGTGCAGTAGGTGAAGGGGCACTTCACCGAAAAAAATACTCAAATTAAAGAAGAAACTTTACTGCTTAAAATATTAATTTAGTTTAATATATTTACATGTATCTAAATAATAAAATGGTACTTTTTAATAAATTATTCTTTTTCCGGGCCGGAGCTCTACATAATAAATCCACCGCATCGTTAATTCCGGCCGAAAAAGTAGCATTATAGGCCCGCACGCGCCTACGTCTCCAGGAAGCCACAAGTGAAGTGAAAATATATGTGAGCCGAGCGGCTGCACGGTTTCGATGGTAACGTGACGTCAGCCTAGCAGCAGCATGTAAATCCCCCGCCCCGAATTTTTTTATCAGCGATCGATGTGAATGAGTTTTTGGGCAGTTCGCTTCGTCTTCCTTTATTATTCGGCTACTTCGGCGAGTAATTAACCGTGTAAAGACTGTAAAGTTGTTGATTATTTATTGTTGTTTGTTAATAGTTTTGTTGATTTAACTTGTTAATTTTTGCTGTTTGTTTTGTTGTTGTGTTTTAAAACTGTTTTGTGTGTGTTTATGTGTTAAAAAAAGAACCCAATTAGTGACTTGGTGTGCAATTTATTTTAAAAAAATCAAAATACAATAGCCGATGCTTTAGAAAAAAACGCTAGACTTTATGCTTAATTTTAATGAAAATGTTCGTTTAAATAGACTTTAATGTGTGTGAATATAATTAATTAAATTACGATATTACTGATAAGTTTGCATCAATAAGGAACAGAAAAATTGACCTGATTTACAAAAATTAGTAAGGTTAGTAATATAAATAAGTCAAATTTATTTGGGTTAATATTGCTTAGTAAACATTAATGTAATAATAATTAATGTAATAATTGAATAATAATTGAATGGCTCCTCGGTTGTAACCAACAATTTTTTCAATATCGAAATATCAGTGAAAAAAACGAGGAAAAAATGTTATACCTATGAAAATTACAACCTTATTTCACTGAAATCTCTATTTTGAAAAAAAAATTCAATAATTACATTGTTAATAAAGTTGGATTCATATGGACGTTTTTTTGGTATTAGAGTTTAAAAAAATCTTTTTGTGGCAATCATTTCTGCTTTAAAAACAACTTAAAATGCACCAAGTCAAAGTTGAAACATAATTTTGTTAGTCACCTTTTTTAAAATAATAATAATTTAACCAATTTTATATTTTCACTGTATAAGTAAATGTACTAAGTAAGTAAATGTACTAAGTATAAACTCAAAAAAGGCTTACAATATACAAAACTAATTTTCTACGTCTGGACATGGAAAAAATGTAGACAATTAGTTGGTGTAGAAAATTAATTTTCTACGTGTAGAAAATAAGGTAAAAAATTAAAATTTTCTACCTACCCAACCCTGCTTCCTAAAATTTGATTGACTAAACGTACCTTGTTCTCCTCGCGGCTCGTAGCACTTGCGTCTGCGTGGGTTGTTGAAAAACAGCCTGTTCTTCCACGGCCAAATCTGATTCTTCTTGGGAATGTTCTTCGGAATGCTTTATTAGTAAAGGATCCTCCTGAGGCTCGTTCTCAGAGTTCATATTCATTAAAGGTTTCTTTATAGACAATGAATCTGTATCAATCCAATTTGGGTTATCTAAAATTTAGATAATATATTTTAGTACAAGAATATTATGAACCAATTTGTACTAGAAGAACTTACCAATTTCTTTATCTTCAACTACTGATTTTTTACTGTTTTTCTTACATACTTCATCACTGTCGCTTTGGCTGTTGCGTTTTAATTTTCTTTTTGCACTTAAATAGTTTTTTACTGACCTAAAACAGTTGCTTAGTAATTTACTAATACAAGAAGCAATCCATTTAGTTACTAAAAACGTTGATATACTGTTACAAAAAAATCTATATCTAAGTCCAGTTTAAAATTTTAACTAAAGTCAGTAATATTTCATATGGATGTATGTTTCAAAATGGTAAAATACAAAAGAAAATTCATTGGGTGGCTTTGATAAGAAATTACTGTGGATAATGCCATAAGACATAAAACCGGGATTATTTGCGAAAGTATTAAAAATTTTGAAATACTCTAAATGCGAAAAATGTTCATTTTTTAATTCGCCATCTATTGAAAAAATAATATACCGGGTGTTCCATTAAAAAAAAGATTTTTTAAAATTTAGAAAGTTTGGCGTAGAATTTTGAACCTCTATTATTCACGATTACCATATTTATAGCGAAATGAGTAGACTACAGACCATCTAAAGTAAATACCTAATATAGTTTTTATTTCAGGACAGGCTCTTGTATTTTTAAGAAAGGCTGAAAAAGATATATTTTTTATTTGTTTATTAATATCTATTAGTCTAAGAGCTAGCAACGTTTTCGAGAAAGTACCGTATGATCGAGAAAAAACGGCGTCAGCGATGGCTATGGAATGAAGATCGCTGTCATTTTATATGTAAATTTATATGGGAAATGTCATTGATGTTCATTTCCCAGCCAACTGGACGCCGTTTTTTTTCGATCATACGGTATTTTAAGACGTCTGGCTCTTTGATATATCTTTTACTATGCTCTCTGGAACAGCATGCGGCCCGTCTGGCTGCCGATACCCGTTGCGTTTACTACTGCGCATCGGAAAAAGATCCTATATTTTTTTATTAATTTAGTCCTATAAATTCTAGTATTGATTATAAATCGAACATGTCTCCATAGCGCAGTGCGTAGAGTTTCCGACCACGAACCGAAGATTCATAGTTCAAATCCGGGTCAGGTCAAAGACTTTTTTATTTTATTTTCGTTTATATTCTGATAGTAAAGTATTAAATAATTCTGGTAATTAAAAAAAAACAAATATTTAATACTTTACTATCAGAATATAAACGAAAATAAAAATAAAAAAGACTTTGGCCTGATCCAGATTTGAACTCTGAATCTTCGGTTCGTGGTCGGAAACTCTACGCACTGCGCTATGGAGACATGTTCGATATATATTCAATACTAGAATTTAAAGGACTAATAAAAATATAGAAGCTTCTTTCAATGCACAGTAGGGAACGCAACGTTTACCGGCAGCCAGACGGGTCGCATGCTGTTCTAGAGAGCATAGTAAAAGATATATCAAAGAGCCAGACGTCTTAAAATACTTGTTTTTCCGACGTTGCTAGCTCTCGTAAACGTGAAACTATCGAAATATGTAATGTGATCTAAAATGCCGCCAAAAATGCAATAATATACAGGGTGTTCCATTTAAAAAAATCATCCCGATCCACTCACACTTTTTTGACCTATCCTATAGAATTTAAAATATTTTCATGAAATACATCCTAGTACATACTTTAAGTTTGCACTTGAACAAAATTCCCAAGTTTTTATTCTACGAGCTATACATGCCCAACGCACTATTGCCGGACCCTGTAGAGTATTTTTCAGAATAGTAGGCCACCCTGTATAAAAAAATACATTAATACAATTTACTCACCTTGTCATAGGAGCATTGCTAGCTCTTCTTGAGGAGGGGGGAGGCGGGGGAGGACTACTGGCAGTTTCAGAATTTTTTCTTTTTCTAGACACATTTTCTAAAAAACAAACCAGTCATTGATATTCTTTTTTAACAATTTTACACCTGCCAATTTATTTCTTCAAATTAGATTAACCAAATATGTTATACAATTTATTTGACAGTATAAAATTACAATTTGACGTGAAATAAGTTCAAGATTAGTATGTTAAAATTACTTGAAACAATAGAAGTCCTATTTTCGTTAAGATTTTCTTCCCAAAAAACAAAGATGTTTGAGCGTAGTATTTGTGAAATAAATTGTCTAGTGTAAAACCGTTATTTGTACTATACTGGAATAACAACCAAAACTCTTACCTGAATTTTCATTACAAATACCCTTACATTTTGAACAAAGAACTTGCCTGGGCCTAAGTCTCACTGTCATTTTACTATTTTTATTTTTATATTTATTAGGTACCTGTTTTCAAAAGTTAAATAAAATGAAGTTAAAAAAGTCACTTTATAGTGGGATTTGTATAATTCCAAGTTTTTCTGTGATTAATAATTGTAAGTACATACTTAGAAACATTGCACCAAAATACTGTATGACAGAAAATAAAACGGTGTCAAGGTAGGCGTCGAAAGGTTGATAGATGATAATTTTGTGTAGGTTGCTCCCAATGTTACTAATTTATCGTCAAAACTGATGCTTGAATATAAAAAAACGTGAAAATAAATATACTGAGTAGGAATGCAGTAGTTCAACATACAAATAGATTAATGTATTAATAAGAAGAATTATTTTCTATTTAGATATTAACTTTTTACGTTTGGTTAAAGTTATATGCGAATTTTTAATAAATTACGTGTATAGATCGACCGCCCAAAAATGACTATCAATCGTAATTTCATAGGATACCGTGACGTCTTTTTTCGACCAAAAATGGTCTTTGAAATGACAATCGCTAAAAACTTATACCAGGTCAACATCAGTATATTATTAATAAAAAATTAATATATAATATACCCAGAACTAACATAAAAAAATTGCTGACAAATCTTATTTTCAAAAAAAATATTATTACTTAATAGATATGCGTGTGAATCATTGGAATATTGGATAAAAGCTTTGTTGATTCATACTACAATTTACAGGGTGTTACATTTGAAATAAACTGCACCTAAATTACTCAAATACCATTTACAAAGTAAATTATAATCTTTCCTAAAGTAACATGATGATGATTTCTTTAGTCAAAAAGAATTAGACGTTTTACAATTAATTATTGTGGGAGTTTCAAATGTGCACCAACTTTGTGCACTCAGTATAGGTATGACTGTAAATTTAGAATAGAAATTTTAAGGGAAATCCATTGAACAAGAATATAATATACTCTATTTAAAATTTGCAACTTTTTTTTTGTAAAAATAATATTTGAAGTATACAGGGTGACTACCATCAGTGTCTATGAAAATATTTTTAAAATATGCATTATTATTGCTACTTAAAATTTCAAATAGGAAGCCTGAAATTTAGTTTTTTTTTAGATGGTTCAAACTGTATAATATTTTTTATTTCATTTGTATTTTAGTGTAATGTTTTTAGTAACAAAAATTGTAGAGAATATTGGAATTAGACAAATAAATAGTTTTGTATTATTGAAATACACCAACCTGAACACTCTTTTTCTTGGGTGCATTGGGATCATTGTATGCAAATCTTTGACTGACTGCATAGAGAGGATCATCATCAGGATTTTTTGTTGTAGTTTTGAAAGCTGGGTTTATGAATGGAACCCCACATGGCAGATTTCTAGAAATTATTCTTAGTTTGATATACCTATACACCCACATATTGACAGATAAGAATGGGGCTCCCATAATAATTTTAAAATTACTAATAGGTATAAAAATAAATTTAAAGTCCTTGTTTTTGCACAATAAAATTAAAGTGACATAGAATAATTATGTAAAACAAACATTCAATAGCCCAATGTAAAAAAAGGGTCAGTTTTCATGAAAATGAGGGTTTTGAAAGGATCAGAATAAAAGGAATCCATACCTTTTTGTGGAGTCCAAAAGTACCCCTTTAAAAATTTTAAGTCCAAATTCATACGTAACTACTAGAATATCTGGAAAAGCTTCGTCTACGAAGACAGAAATCCTTGTTTTTTTCAACAAAGTTATATCCCCATTCTGGTCGGCCATATTTGTTAATCTAAAAAATCTCCTTTTGTGTTCAGTGAAATACCCTGTATGCGTGTACTCCGAGTTTCCGAGTGTTTTTTTATACTGTATTCGTTCAAATTGTCCCGTTTTAATTAATAATTCAATTAGACCAACAAAATTGGAACTATACCCGTTGTCCACAAAGAAAACTAATAAAAAATCCAACAAAATATAACCTCCAAATAGTTAACAATTACGACAGTTGGTGACATTTGCCTTTTAAATTTATTTCGTAGGTTGGTAATGCTTTTAAATTTTACAATTCCAAAATTGATTTATATTTATATTTTTTCTTCATAAATCATAATTCATACACCTAAAATTCCGTACTTTTAGGTGTATGAATTAGAGGGGCAGTATTACGTGGTATTACCTGTTTCTTTTAATGATTATTATGATTTATAACATATTTTATATTTCTTTATTTTAGGTTGTATTTATAAACAACAGTAACGGTTAAAAATCAAGGATGAAACACGGTTTGATAAAACTAAGTATGGACTTATTTTTTACTTATTAATTATGTTGAAAACCGACAGCGTCAAAGCTATATTTTACACGTAGAAAACGATTTTATTCATCCCTGTAAAAAACCTTTGTTTAATTACATTTAAGAAGCATTATTTTTCATGGTCATCCTTGTGAGAAAGCGTGTTTTCTTATCTATGGTTGAAAAATACTTGAACAAATGAACTATTTTTTTTAATCATAAGAACTAATGAACAATAACAATCGAACCTCAATTTTAAACAGAGTTTTAAATAGTAAACAAAATATTTGAAGTTTATTCAAGATTTCTTCAGAAAAGAGACGATTTATAATGAATTTAGAAGTAGAATTATTAACAGATTTATGTGGCTTGCCAGCAGAGCCGCCTAAAATGCGTGAACTATGTAATCAGTGCCAGTAAGAACCATTTGTATTTGTTAAATATAGATTTGTTTTTAACGTTATTTCAGGCGACCCAAATCAGTTTGTTACTGTTCCTCCATCCCAAATCCGCCTTTGTGCCCGAAAAGTAGGATTATATTGCTGCAACACCCCGCCGAAGAAAAAAGATGCCTCAGAACGGCCCCAATGTTGGAGTTGGGTTTAAGTGAAGGCAAGTGCCTTATTTTTAAAGGAAAACGTTTTCCAGGCATTCATAGCGGCTTGGAAGAAATTTTGAAAGATCCAAGCACATTACTGCTATATCCCAGTCCAAGTGCAATTGATATTTCCTCTGTAGTTAAGGAACAAACTTTGGTGAAATCTTATAATTTAGTTATATTAGATGGAACGTGGCCCCAAGCTAAAGCCATATATACAGCTAGTCCAATTTTACATGACTTAAAACAAATCAAGCTTTTAAACAATAACACTAGTAATTACATTATTCGGACACAACCTGCTGATGGATGTTTAAGCACATTGGAAACAGGAGCTTTATGTTTAAGCATCCTTGAACAGAATGAAATGTTCAGTGAAAAATTGCTACAGCCATTAAAACTAATGTGTGAATTTCAATTAAGAAATGGTGCAGTCTCCCATCAAAGTAAAGAGTTTTTAATAAAAAATAACAGTTATCCAAAATTAATTGGTAAAAGACTGAATAAAGTTTTAAAAAATGCTGAAAGTTTAAAATATGATATTACATAACTATATTGTTATTTAAAAATTGTGTACCTATATTATAAATATTAAATATTTTTTTGACGTATTAAAATATAGATCTATTAAAACAATACATTTAAACAATATGATGAAAAACACCTTGTGTAATAAGTTCTTCACATTCACTCCTCGGCAAATAGTGCCTGCTGTCTTTTTTCAAAAGCAAAACAGTGCCGTCTGATAGTTCAAATTTACCATAGTCTATTAAACATTTAACTTCAATGTAGAGGGACTTAGGAGGCCGTAAGTCTAAACATAAATTTAGTCCATCTTCACCTAGAAATAATTCAATCATACTGATGTCTAATATAAGCAAACATTGCCTAGGTTAATAACCAACCTATAGATCTCATATATTTCCCCAAGCAGCTGGAATATTTTGAGAACCAATCTATTTCATCTGAGCTTAAATTAGTTTTAATATCTGGTGGTAAAATGCTTCCAAACTGCCATCTCATTGTTCTTAACGTTCTTAATCTGTTATAGTGATATGCTAGAAGGCATCTAATATTTCTTTTAACAGCAGCACTGCCAATTCTTAATGTTGGATAGAGAGGATTCACATTACCAGCAATTTCAGATTCGTTGGCTACAATTGCACTGAAATATTAGTTATCTATATGATTTGTAAGTTGATTTTCAGTAATGAAATGTATACCCATCTTCTTTATTTTGTTCGTGTAATTGTTTAATTTCAGTACAGACTTCTTTTACTAATTCGATCTAAAAGATTTCAAAAATAATTTTCATATAAAGAGATAAATAAATATTGCCACTTGTACATTATATGGAGGAAGACCTTCTTCACAACGGGATAGTTCTTTTATGAGACTGCATGCTTTTTCTGCAAACATTTTTTTAAATAAAACGCTTAACAGTTTATCAAGTACTTATATAGAAAAGTAAATGCCTGTAGTTAATAATTTAAAAATAAAAATAACATTTCAAACAGGTAAAGGTAACCTAAATTTATTTATTTCCCGCTCAAAATCAATCTAGAATCTTGGTCACAGATCTTGGTTAATCTTGGTCTTTTTATCGAAGCTAGAGTATATTCTATGGTAGAAACGTCTAGGGATGGTATTTTACACGATACAAATAACAACATGTAACTCTACAGCTATGTCCTATGTCCAATTATACATGCAGGCGAGTTGAATTTTATTCTTTTTTACGCCAAAATTTTTAAGCACCCATCCCTGAACTATGATTAATCTTTGGTATTGACACAGTTAATCAAAATTAATTTCTTTTGTGTTTCCACAGATCTACATTATTTTACCAAGCCACAGACAAAACTTGTAAGTCATATGAAAATTATATATGATTTTTATATAAATTCAAATTCAAAATAAACTGAAAAGTAATTTGAAATATTTTATTATTTATTTAAATTTTCTTTATTTCATAATCAAACAGATTCTAACATTATTTAATTATGATTTAACGAACACTCAACTGTTTGATAGAATTTTTTTTTGAAAACAGTTCTTTTCGTTTGCATTTCTGAAAACTTTTTACACACAATTTTCAGAAATACTAACTGTCTCTTTTTACTGTTTAAACTTTAAACATGGTCAGATTATTTCTTAGATGCCATATAATAAAATACAACCATAGGAAAACAGAAAAATACTTTATTACAAATGTACAAACTTTAAGAAAAGTTCTTTTTAATAAGTTACAGTTAATATTATTTACAATTATATTTTCTTAAGGAACAATAAAAATCTGTAGTATATATCCAGCAATAAATATCACTCAGATTCACTACTGGTTGAACCATAATCACCAACTAATGAACTTTGTAAAATTTCTTCATTTCCTTTTTTCCTTTTTACATTTTCGGGATAATCATTCTCTTCATGGTCACATATATCAGATTCTAAATTACTATTTATCTCATTTCCTTGTTTACCACATTGTTCAGGTATATTATCAGAAGTAGCCAATACAGTATTCTTCTTTTTAATAATGCCTAAATCAAGTTTAGGTCCTTTTAACAGCTTCACTGCATTTTCCTCTTTCTTCTTTGAAAAATTAGTAGTTGGTAATGAACTTTGAGAAATAATTTCTTTCCTCTTATTACTTAAATTTTCTTCACTACTTTTTATAGGTCTCATTGCTAATAAACTCGCAGTGTGCTTGTCTTCATCCCTTTCTTCTAGAAGAGGTATATCTAAACCAATCTTCCTTAAATTAGCATCCCATTTCTTCTCCCTTATTTTTGATTCATAATTCTGTTTCTGAAACATATTTATATTGTAGTTTTACATCTATATATATTATTAATGAATCTTACTCTAAACTGGGCTCTTAATTTTTGGTTTGCTGTATAATTATCAGACCAATTGTCTTCATTTCTATTAAATAATTTCACCAATCTGGGCTTAGCACTTTCCATTGTGTTCTTATCTTCTGTTCCATGTTCTAATTTGTACATTTTATCATCAAATAGTCTTTTCTGAACTTCTTTGGTTTCTGGTACAACCTGGCCATTTTGTGTGGGGTCCCAACGATTTTCTTGCCTACGTGCTCCAGATATTATAATGTAGTCCAAATTCTACAAACAATATTGTTACTAATTTATATATCAATGATTCAATTAAAAATTATATTAGCTTACTGCTGGGTCTGCTCGAATTACAAAATGGTTATCGCATAGGTGACATTTCATTTTAAATTCGTACACCGGAGTTGTATAATACATCCCAACTTTTGTCTTTTCTGCGTTGTATCTAACTCCCATTCCTATATGATTCTTGCATTCATCACACCATATGTTGTAGGGCATTTCAAACCGTATTATTATGATGCCTTTGTCGATTTTTCTTGCTCTTTCCCTTAAGGCATGAGTACCCAAGAATTTGTTTAGACCCCCGACCTTTGGGTCATAGTCGGGGGGATAATATTTATTGGTACCTTTTCTTTCACCCATTGGACTTCTTTATTAATCAAAATGCAATAATTCAATGCTTGAAAATTACAAGTTTTCAAATATAAACACAACAGACACAAGTTGTCAAATTTGCTAGGTTATTAATTTTCTGTCAGCTGTCACGTATTTCTTCTTCTAATATGTTGGTGCTTTTCCATCAGGGATGGAGGTAAAGAGTAAAATAGTCTACTAAAATAGATGTTTTCTTCCAAAAAGGAAAAACCTTTGTTATTTTTTATAAAATCAGTAAACCATACTACCACCATACATTGTACATCCGAATTTTGGTAAAGGTGTGGATCCGGTGGCTGACCTTGAAGGCCATATTTGCTGCATTTGATCATCGATACTACGCAGGCGCACATCGTCGATGTTGCCAAATTGCAGTTTATTTTCGAATTATTTGCAGTTGATTTTTTTTTTCAGTGTTAATAATAATACAAATTCTATAATTAATTTTATAATTTCAGATTTATCTTGATATCCAAAATTAAGGTAAGAAGGATAATGAAGATTGTGAAACGAAAGTATTATGAATATATAAAATTGTACGTAATAATAACAGAGATATATAAGTGGTTGAATAATAATAACATTTATTTATATATTTACATTAGAATTAAAAATTATCATTTACGGATTTTTTCTAATGGTTTTAAACTTATTAGAATTATTTTATTTCTTTCAAGTTATTTAATTTCTAGTTATTTACAGGCAACAATAGTTTTCATTATATTATGTATATTGATGTTTTGAAATATTACCATGACGAGTCTTATAGAACAATACACGTCAATGGGAGATAGAGGTAACATATTTTACCTATAATGTTACTAATATAATATACTTTGATTGTAATGTTTGTATCATATAATTTCTAAAAATATCAAGTTAGTGGATTAATAGCAATTTTAGACATATATTTTATCGAAGAGTGTTGATAAGACTAAAATAAGCTTTATGTTTTATCTTTTTCTCTTTAGAAGGGAGATGGTTTGTATCGTAGAATACATTACAGTATTTAATATCGTGTACTTTGATATTCTTTTCTTAATTTACAGCAATTTCTTGTTTCCTATAATGCCAAATCTTGACAATATGGTGAAGGTTGAGTTTTGATCTTATTAGTTTTATACCTGTGTTTATACAAGACCAAATTAAGACTTTAGTTTGTGATTTATATTAAGATCTTTCTTATAATATTTATTATGTCTTAATCTTATGCTTTGTCTGGAAAATAAATGTTAAAATATCTTAATTTTGCATATCCTATTCCATCCTTCCATTAGGAAAAATATGTTTTATAAATCATATTACAGCTAAGAAAATCACATAAATTAGGTCTAAGAATAGAGAAATCTTAAAGTAGCAGAAAAATTAATGCAATATGTGTATAAGCAGAATTACACAAGGTAAAACTGTTAATGTTGCTGACGCTGATTCTACAATTTTAATTACGGAGGCTAAAAGGCCTTTTAAGGCCTCCGTAGTTTTGATGGAATGTTAAAAAAACCTATTATGAACATGACATGGAGCTACAGCATTTAAAAATTAAAAAAAAAAGGAAAACTTGGACATATAATTTCCAGAATTTTTAATAAAGCCCTTTTTAAACGTAGCATAATAATCTAGAGCAATTAGATTAATTATAGGAATCTAGAGTTTTATTTCTATTTAATTTTATTGACTATGAAAATACATAATAAGCGTTCACGTGTTGTGCGAAATATTAAAATAATAATATAAATCCTTGATATAAATAATATACCGCGTACTATGATTGAAAAAAAATAGCGTTAGCCGATGACTATGAAATGAAGATCGCTGTCATTTTATATGGGAAATGTCCTCAATCGTCATTTCCCAGCCAACTGACGCCGTTTTTCGATCATACGGTATATATTGACAAAAAACACTGAAAAGCACATATTTGTTTTCTACTGAAAATAATTCCAAAATAACTTACAATCTGGCAACATCGAAGATGTGCGCATGCGTAGTGTCTGTGACTATATGCAGCAGAAACTCGTTTCAAGGTCAGCCACCGGATCCACACCATTACCCGAATTTTTTTTATTTTGATTATTCAGAGATGATTATTAGATACCTATATATACAGGTCGGATAGCCCTGGCAGCTGTGGCTTTAAAACGAACGTGCCACTTTACCCATCCCTGAATGGCCTGAATTAACCTCACTTTGTCACTGACTTTTGTATGCAACGGAGTGGCGATTGCAGTGTTTTTGTTATATTTCTATCAATTTTAAGAAATAGGAGAATAATAATTTAAAGTTAAAATGCCACCGGGACCTCGGAGACTATCAAGAACTAATCGTAGTCAAAATGAATGTTCTAATTCTAAAAATTCTCCGGTAACTCCCGCTATAGAACCTCCGATATTACCAAAGCATTTTCCATTTCCAAATATTTCTGTAGAAAGCGATGCTCTCTTCGATTTTTTAATGTTTTTCTTTGCCGTGGTTTCAATGATTTTACAATTCTTAAATATGTACAAGGCAGTGTGGTGGTTACCCCAAAGTTATACACAAAACACTGTGGTAAGTTAGTTTTTAACTATCGCTGTAATACTAATGGTATTTGGTTTCAGAATTTTTACTTGATCGACCCAAATTTAGTTATATTTATTACTGTTATATTTCTGAGACGACTTTACTATCATATTGCTTGCACGTTAATATCTAAAGCACTGTCAAATAAGTACGAAGAATTAAGTAAATTAACTAGGTAAAGAAATGATACGTAGGTCTTATCATATTTTTAATTTGTAATGCTTTATTTTAAGAGGAATTCTATTTCTTTTCTTTTTCTTGATTGTTGGAACATCTGGAGCAATAGTAATAGGCAATCAACCAAAGACTTCAATCTTATATTTATCATATCCGTAAGTTTTATTTTTGATACCTACTCCTCATATTTAAAAATTAATATTAAATTATAGTTTGGTAGTTTACGTTATATTATTTGGAACCCAAGTACGACCTTTTTTTGAAACAGTGTCATGGTGCTCGAAGGGAAGACCGCCTATACATGCTTGTAGTTCAAACCCGCTTGATGTAAGAAGAGAATGTGAACATTTAAAATCCAATTTTAATGATAGGATTAAACAGATTTGCTTTACATCAATTGTGAATGCCTATTATGGAGGGTTTATTCCATTTTCTTTTGCACAAGTAAAGATATTTGTGAAATTAATAATGCTAAGCAAAAAATAATTGACTATTTCATTACAGCCACAATTAGTTTTTGACAGGAATTGGTGTTTGCAACATGTTGTATACATTTTTTGGAGCACATTTGTTTTTTCCGTTACACATATGTTGTCTTTGAGATATTGGGATGTTATGCATAGATCCGTGTTACATCTTGGAATGTGGGAAAAAGTAGAACCAGGAAGAAACCTAATCTTAGGTATTTTTTTAGTATAAAATTATTATAGTACTAGTTTTTTCTCTATTAAATGTGATGACTAGTGTTGTAAAATGTTGTTCAATTTATTTTTGGAGAGCGTTCCAAGAGAATGAATGAGCACAAACGAGGAAATGTGGATAATTTATAATTACCGCAATGAAAGTAGGTTGGAAAATCAGTCAGTTAATTTTTTAAATGTAATTCTGAATGTCATTTTTTCATATACCGGGTGTGTCTCAAAAATGGTTCACCACATTGGTATGTTAGTATATGACATAAATTAGGAATGAAAAATTACACTCTGAATAGATTGACATATCATATGTCAGCTTTTTACATTTTCGCAAGTAACAAAATACCGAGGTTAGCGGTAAAAATCAAAAGTTGTAGTAATTTCCGGTGAAACAGGAAGTGACCAAAAACAATTGAATACGTCATCAATCCTAATTCATGTCATATACTAACATACCTAATCTCGATTTTTATCTGAGAAAATAAAAAAGTTATAAGAGTGAGCCACTTTTGAGACGCACCCATATATACAGGTTGTTAATTTGGTTATTACTCGCGGCAAGAGCTTTATGGTTGAAATATGGCAACCTCGGCCCGCTCGTCGAGAGACGACGCGACGGGACGAGTCGACAGCGTAGCTTAGTACTCATTTGGAATGTAGGCAGTGTTGCCATTTTGTTCCCCAATGAGTAACCGTCCAGTTAACAATCTGTATATATGGTATATTATGCTTATCAAAATGAGAATCTTGAAAACATTTAGAACAAAAGGAAGAAAAAAATTGAGAACAAATATTCTTTGTAGTTTCTATCACTATAGAAACGACGGTGTATCGTTATAAACTTATAAATAGTGGCGCCAACCCCTCATAAGTTTTGGCGTCCAACGTGGGGCTATATATTCCAAAATTTTCCCGTGTTGTAACGTTGTCGCATCCTAAATGTAAATAAATAAAAATAGTTTTAAAAAAATGTCCATAAGGATTGTTCTCTTTTGTGCTCTTACATTCTCTTATAAGCGAACGTTCTTGCACAACGATCCGTATGGGAACGATTTTCTTTCTATTACAACATTAGTGATAACAACCTAAAGCGTTATTTTTATATAGTAACTAGTGAATGGAAAGATGACGTATTGTGGCCAGGAGGCGTGCTTGTAAAACATGAAAAATCGATATGGAGGGCAATGGGCGATAGCAACTCGAACGAACCTGGCGACAAGAGCTTAAATCGTTACTATGTAAGCCTTGTATTTGAAACAGATAGATTATTTAAATGCTATAACAGTTATATTGTAGAAATTGTGCATCGCGCCCTCTCATTTATTATTTTTGATATTAGTGCTGCATTCTTTGATGGTATTGTACCAAATGATCATTCTAATTAAGACACACATGTGGTACAAGATTCTGGCGCAGGCTATAATGTTATTTTTCAATTATTATGGAATGTACAAGGTGTTCAGGGACTTCTTGGTTAGCTATAGCTTTTACAAACCAAGTGAAGAGAGCGTAAGTATGTGCTAAGGGTTTTTTTGTCTTTTTTTTACTAACACAGCATGTAATGCTTTGCTTTCATAAATACTTATCTACTGGATGCTCATGTAAAAATAAGATTTATTTTTTATGTCAACATAGGTCCGATTCTGATTTGTTTCGTAGCTACAGGGGGTTAAACTTTTCATTTTTTTTACTATAATTTTCTTCCAAGTGCTTTGAATAAAATTTTGAGATTAGAAATTACTATAAGTCCAACATATTTTAATGTTAAAAAAATGTTGACATATTCACCAGGAACGTGGATATGGCATTTTACTGGAATGTTTTTCTAAACAAAACGTGCGCAACTGACTTTATTTAATTTGTTAGCAAAATTGGATAGACCGTTTAATGTCGATTAAAAGTTGTCTCTTGATATTTTGTCGATTTCGATCTATTGATAAGATAAACACAAGTTTATTAATTTGCCTTAATCCAAGTCTAATAACAACCTTTAAAAACATTTAGTGCCATTAATTGGTCAAAATATTAAATCATTAATTCCTCATAAAAAAAATATGAAAAAAAGTTCCTATGTGGGGAAAAGTTCCTATGGGGAAAGCTCCTATGTGCATCATATGGGTCGGAAATGCATAGTTTTAAAGTTACAGGTGGTTAAAACTTTTTTAAAAATAGGTCATTAGTAATTATCTTAAATACCATTTTTTTTAATTTGCTATAAATTGTGTTAATAAATTTTAATGAAATTTAATATTAAATTTGCTAATAGAAAAGTCAGCAGCGCACATGAAATATAATAACTCCTAATAAAAATATTCCAGTGATAACCCATATGCACACTTTTTTAGCATTAAAATTTAAAATATGTAGCACTTACGGTAACTCTTACCTTGAAAATTTTATTTGAATAAAAAAAAGCACTTGGAAGAAAAATTAATCTTATTTTTATGTTAGAAACCTCCCCACGAAAGATAGCACATTTTTTGAAACACCCTAAATGAAGTATACCAAGTATACTTCATTTCAAAGGCTACTATGACGACATTTTTTTCGATGTTGTGGTGTTTTGCCCCAATCACTTTTTTGTTTCGAAGAACTTTTTTATTGACTATTACTGAATGAAAAATATATGACGGATTTTTACTATGTAATGTTTTTTTAGGGAGAAGAGAAAGACACAGGCAACTCAACAAAATGCACCAACGCAAACACATTTGAACCAAATCCAAACCGAACGAGAGGCTTTAAAGGGAACGAGTCAGACAAAAATACTGAAGCAGCAAAAAATTCCGACGATGAACCTACTGAAGATAGGTGACAACCGGTCAGGCCTTCCAGTTTTCTCGTGTTTGTCGCGATACCAATTCTGTTCTGGTTAATTATTCTCGCAATGTATTACGCAACCGGTGGGTTCGCCTTTTTTTACGTGCCCAGGTACACGCCGAATCAATATTAAGGAAATGTTTCGTGTTTCGTCTTTGTCGAGTGTAATCAGTTGCCAAAAAGATTTGATGTGATGTTGTTTCAAATGTTTTGTGGTGTTAAAGAAATATATGTATATATTTTTATATTATCTCTAGTAATCTTTTATTTCTTTAGTTGTATGATAAAAAAATTAGCCGCCCATACTAAAATATGTTAATAAAAGTTGGGTAGGAGTTCTTTTAGTTTCAAAGTAAAGGGATTTTCCAATTTTTTTATCTCAAAAACTGCAACTTTGATTTTTATGTTATTACAAATTTTGTTGCAAATATTATTCCTAATCTTAAATTTAAAACCGCGTTTCGCTAGCTACTGTAATTTGGAGTTTCGATTTTTTAAAATATTTAACCCCCTCCCATACCCCCTTACCAATCTCCCACCCCCACTAAAAACTAATAGCCAGATTCTCGCTCGGGTGCCACAGTATTTTTGTGCCAGATTTGGTTAAAATCGGTTTAGCGGTTTTTGAGTTATCGTGTTACAGACGGACAGACAGAAAGACACCATGAAAATATTTTGTATTTAGGTCATTTATGACCCAAATAACTCATTTTGAGTGAAATTAAAAAAACTTTTTTTTCTTAATAGCCTACCATATCTGTTGGTATGGTCGGCTAAAACGATGTAATAGTGGGTTTCGAAATGATAATCGATAATAAGTTAAAATAAAATTTAAATGTGACTACAAGGGCTAGAAGGGAAATATCCAGAGATTGGTGTTAAATGGTGTGTTCTTTTTTTGGCGTTAAATTGTTAAAAATGTTTACATGTTTAGTATCTTGAAATACAAGTAAGAAATGTAAAAAAAATAAAAAGTGGAAGAAATGGAATTTCTCTTTCTTCTTAATCCACACTTTAAATTAATTCTGCATTTGATTTTATCTATATTAAATGAAAAATATTAACAAAAATACCAAATAGGAGATAAATTTTTGCAATAATCATTAACATAAAACAGCGTTTCACAGTTAAACCTTATAGGCGATTTCGTGGCACAAAACTTGTCCGAGATTTAGTTACAGCGCAGCTTTTAAAGAATACTGTATCGTAGTTCTGCTTTCAGTCGACAGAGTGGGTGGTTGCCGGAGACAGTGTAGCCAGAACTAAGGATTAATCCGTAGATTTAGGGATTTTGGGTACAGTACGTTAATAATACGGATATTCTATCATTAAAGAATTTAATATAATACACAAAGATGCAAAAAAACGCAACGGAGAAATTTTTGGTCAAATTTGGAGTGTTATAGTTTTGTTATTTTTAGCTCTATTTTCATAATTTTTTTAGCAAGCTGTATATAATTATATGAACTTTAATTCGTTAACTCAGTATTTTATAAACTTAGTACTTACAGTATTTGGCATATTATACAGGGTTAAACGAGTTTTTTTTACCTGAACTTTGAAACACCCTGTGCAATAATTTCGTGTGTAAGTTTTTCTAAAATATAATTTTACGGTTAGAACTGTGGTTAGAACCATGTCTCCTGACCATTTTGTTTTTTGGATCATGTCAATACATGCCTTGGTTAAATTTTAAGAGCGAAATGAACTTGCCACCAACAATTTGCAATTTTTTCAATTATCATTTCTTTTGAAGTTATTTTTCAATATGACGAGGCGGCTTTGATGATTATTGTGAACTATATACCGTATGACCGAATAAAAACGGCCTCAGCGATGGCTATGAAATGAAGATCGCTGTCATTTTATATGTAAATTTATATGGGAAATGTCATCGATTGTCATTTCATAGCCATCGCTGACGCCGTTTTTATTCGATCATACGGTATTAGTATGAACTGCCCATCATGTTCAGCGTTTGGGAAATGCTTGGCAGGAAGTTTAGAGGTCGCGAAACGGTACCAGCTTCATTAAATGAACTTCGTTTGGTTCTTAAAGAAGAATGGGAAAGCATACGCAATAATGATATATGCAGCCTCAATGACAGTATGAACGGACGTATACAGGCAGTTGTAGCAGTCAAGGGAGATAATACAAAGTATTAGGGTATTTTTACAATTTTTTTTCTGTTTGTATACTTGAGTATTACAGATGTTTTCTTTAATATCGTTAGTTCGGTTTATCGTTATGAATGTTTATTAAAACCAAGTTCCTTTCACTCTTAAAAATTAACCAAGGCATGTATTGACATGATCCAAAAAACAAAATGCTCAGGAAACATGGTTCTGACAGAAAAATATTTTTTTAGAAAAACTCACGAAATTATTGCACAGGATGTTTTAAAGTTAGGGTATTAAAACAACTCCCCGTTTAACCCTGTATAATATGCCAAATACTAAAGTTAATAAAAAACTTAGTTTACGAATCAAAGTTGATATAATTATATACAGTTTGCTAAAAAATCATGAAAATAGGGCTAAAAATAACAAAAATATAACACTTTAAATTTGACCAAAATTCTCTTCGTTGCGTTTTTTTGCATCTGAGTGTATTATATGATTAAACAAAGAACGGCGTCAGAGTTGGCTTGGAAATGAAGATCGCTGTTATTTCATATGTAAAATATTATGGTAAATGTCAATAGTCGTCATTTCCAAACCAACTAAACGACTTTTTTCGATCGTACAAAATATTCAGTGTCTATAAAATAATTTTTATTTTTGTTGTTTATTCTATGTTTAACACGAATAAATTGTCAATACATAAACGCGGATTTTTCATCCAAAGATATTTTCGTCAAATGTATTACAGATAATACACTTTTCAATATGGCAACACTCTCGCTTTCAGTTCCACACTGTGTTCGATACGCCCTCGCAAGCCGAATTAGAGAAATTGAGTGTTTTATGCGTTGGCCGCCGAACGAGTGGAGGATCCACCGTACCGCACTTGAGACGTTTTTTGCTTTTCATAAAATGTAAAACATATTTTTTTACATTACTACTGGTTTACAACTTTGTCCATTCTCTATGGTTAGGCAATTTTGTTCTATAAGGTAGTAAAAATAATTACTCATTAAAAAAAAACAGAAATTTATTCAATTAATGGTTTCAGTCTTGGTATACAAACAGGAACTAGTTGTTCCAACTCCTTATATTTTTGTATCACATTTAGTAGAGATTCTTGACATTCTGTAAATAACTCCGAATCAAAGTTATCAATCTTCTGATAATGATAAATATGAGCCTAGAAATGTACCTACTTAAAAAGCCTGAACATACTTTTGTTATAATTTTTACCTTCTTTCTATATAATTTATTATATTGCCCATAAATATTCTCAAAGAGGCTATACATTCCTGTGGTGTTAAAAAGAGAAAATAATGCTGAGCTCTGATTTTTTGGCGCGACACTACACAGCCCTGCTTTAACGCATTTCCTAGACCATGGCGTAAACTTGCCTTTGGCCTGTAGCTTTTCAGTGTAGGATTGTAAATCTGTCAAAGTGTAATCGCCTCTGCCAATTATCGTTGATGCCAAGAGTATCGATTTTGATCCTTAAAAAAGATTATATATTTTGTGTATTAAAAAGACTGGTGATTTCTACCTAGCGGTTCTACTTTTATCATTTGGTTTGAGCGATTACAAGCTGCCAAAAAATTATTTTCTTTGATTTGCTTACTAAAATACTTAACAAATTATAATATACTGATGAGTATAGAAATAAATATACTTTAAAAATTACCTGGATTTTCTGAGACCTGTTGCACAACTGTTATTTAAGTGATTAAATCCAGCTGATAAAAAATGCATCTGGGGAAATGGCACCATATTCGTGTTAATTTCGTTCATATCAAAATTCAAACTACCAGGAAACCTCGAACCACTATAAAAATAACTTATTAGGTGTAGGTGATTCTACAGTGAATTTATTAACCTTGTCAAATGGAGCAGCATTTCAACTATGATATTGTTCATATCTTCAAATGGCTTAAATAATGATGATATATCAGTCTTAGTGTAAAAATTATTTCTGCATTTTTGCGAGACAATATTTAGTAAACATCTGTTCTCAACTGGAAAAACGCATGTTGCATTTTGTAGTAACTGATAGGTTGCTAAAGCATTATTATAGGGACAAGTTATCACATCTTCAGTACCAGTTGAGTAAACACAAGATACAAATCTAAGAATATTCATTTATGATTAAAATTTTAACTATGTGAAATATAACTTATTACCTCTCAATTTTTGGGTAATTATCAGTCAGTAAATTTAACACATATGTTCCTAATCCTGATCCTGTACCACCTCCAGTTGAAAAAAGCATTAAAAAACCATGTAAACTATCACATCTTTCAACTACATGCCTCAAAACTTTTAAAATTTTTGCCTTATAGTTGGGACCATGTTCACAAAACCCTGGGGAAGTAATAATTTCAAAATTCATTTTAACTGCTTTCGTGAAATCTACCCTCAGCCCAATTGTTTCCAGATCCAGGGTAATTAGTTAATAAGCACCTTTCATCAAAAAGTCCTTTTAATGGTCCCGTTCGAAATCGTGAAACCACGCTATCTTCCATGTCAATACATACAGCTCTTGCTTTAACTTGGTTATTTAACAATTCATATAATGGCATACACTCTGTGGATTTTCTCAAGCTCAAGTTAGTTAAGTTAAAAAAGGACGACAATGAGTTATAAGAGACACTCTGTGAAACTGTACGTTTCTCAGGTTTTTGGTGAATTGAGACATTGTATTCTTTTAGTATTTGGGGCCAAAAAGCACCACCTATCTGATTACCACATTGTCCCACTGTAATATAAAGATTAATGAAATCGAAATATACTTTGATATTTCATTACCTTGAATTGTTACAAATTCACTCATTTGCAAATTAACACCAAATTAATATAAAATAATTAAAATAACTAAAAAGGTAAACAAAATAAAACTTTAACCTTAACCTCAAATAAAAACTAGCAACCATAGATTAAAGCACATAAAAACATTGTAGGGATAGCCATGTAAAAAATAGATAGTTTTACTCTTGGTTTTTTACACGCCCATCCCTGGTAACGGAAGCTGGCAAGTAGTACATGTTTATCATGACGCCAAAATTTGCAAAGAAGAATTTAAATGCCACTGATCAAGGTCACAATTTTGACGTTGACAAGTTCATTATTGTTTTGACATAAATTTCTGTGAAATTTTGGTAGATTAGTCATTCTGCACTAATTTATTGTAAGGATTTAAGATAAATAACCATCTTCACAGTGAAAATTTTAACTAAGGAAATGAATCGGTTATTTGGAAAAGGAAAACCAAAGGAGCCTGGTCCTAGTATCACTGATTGTATTGCAGGGGTAAGTGGCATTGCAATTTCTTTAAAAACCATTAAGTTTTCAGAATGTTATTTTTACAAATAGGTGGATTCAAGAGCAGAAAATGTAGAAAAGAAAATTGCTGCTTTGGAAAATGATCTTAGAAGATTTAGGGATCAGATGTCAAAAATGCGCGAGGGTCCTGCTAAGAATGCTGTAAAAGCAAAAGCCTTACGTATTCTTAAACAGAAAAAGTTATATGAGAATCAGCTGGATAATTTGAGGTATAACATTTCTTCAACTTCTTTCAATTTCATGTTTAATATTGTACTTTTTGTTAGGGGTCAATCATTTAACATGGAACAAGCCAACTTTGCTCATCAAACTTTAAAAGATACTCAGGCCACAGTTGTGGCAATGAGAGATGGAATGAAAGCTATGAAAAAAGAATTTAAGAAGATTAATATTGAAGATATTGATGTAAGTGGTCAATAGCCTTATAATAACTTCAATTTCTTTATATTTTTAAATCTTAGGATGTTCAAGATGAATTAGCTGATATGTTAGAACAAGCCGACGAGGTTCAGGAAGCTCTTGGAAGGACATACAACACTCCTGAAATAGATGATGATGAATTAGCAGCTGAATTAGATGCATTGGGTATGTAAACAAATCAATTAAAAATACTTTTATTATTTAAAATTGTGTTTTTAGGTGATGAAATTGCATTGGATGATGATCAGAGCTATCTTGATGATGTTTTGAAGGCACCAGAGGCACCAAGTACTAAACCAGAATCAAATAAAGATAGGACTAATAAGGTGAGCATACTTACAAGTGTGTAGTATATTTTTTTTATTGAAATATGTTTTATGTTTATCTCAAGGATGGTGTACAAGTTGATGAATTTGGGTTACCACAGTTGCCTAGTAATCATTGATAAAAAAGAGAGAAGAGCTTACTTTTGTTGTTTTTTTTTAATGCCTTTATAATAAGAAAAAGTTTCATAAATATTTTATATTTTAAAACAATGGCTTGTAATTTGTATTCTTTATAAGTGATAAACTATAGTAATACATAGTTTTTGTTAGTTTTTAAAAAATGCCCTTGGATAGGTTTAAAAATGTTTATAGGTATATAAGTTTCTACTAGGTAGTTAATTATTAAAATATTTTTATTTGTTATATTGATTTTTCATTAGGTTTAAAAGTGTTAAGAGTATAATATAATAAAACGACTTTATATCAACAATGATATCCTAAAATAGGGATTTTTTAATTTGCTGTTTTTATATTACACTTAATTACATACATAGGTCAACTTTAAAGCTTAAAATTAAGCTTAGTCATATCTAATTGTCAGTTAAGGTAAAAGATTTGTCTTCCATGCTGAGTATAATAGCCTGTTCAATTTTTTCATGTAACCATACAAGAATTTCTTTGGGCCCTAAAATTTTTATTTGCTGTTCACCTGCAAAATTTTCACTCTGAAAATAAAATAATTTTAAGTATTTTATTTTAAATTAATGCATTTCATGTTTTACTTGTCTCATATTTAGGATGAGTTCCACACAATTAATTTTTGGCAGAGAAATTATATCATCTAGGTCAACCATCCATTCTACTTCCCAGGGACCCCATAACGTGCATTTGTTAATTCTAATTACACGTCTAAAAAATTAAAAATAAAATACAGTCCTGTTCAGATGCGGGTCAAACTGTTATATCTAAATAACAGTAAGAACTGTTATTCTTATTAAAATACCAGTTTGAAATGTGTTCATAACAATTATAATAAGTAACAAAAGGATTAAAGGTAAAATAAGTGTATCTCTACCCACAACAGTTACAGCTGTATAAAAAAGTAACTGTTTATGCTTTTGTGGCGCGGAAATTCCGGTTTCACACAAAAGCTATCAATGTCTGCGCACTGTTATCTTCATATCTGTTATTTTTGGAGTAAGAAATGGTGCTGCTAAGGCATGTATTGTTATTGTTTAACTGTTATTTTAGGTAACAACTATTGTAAGCTTCGTAGAATAACATAATCCAATGAGTCATTGTCATCAGCTTACTTTTATTTTCATAACTGTTATTTTTTTTTGAAGCGTGTTTGAACTGTTGCGGGATGTTTATAAATAACAGTTTAGAATAAACTAAAATATTTTACAGAAAAATATTAGCAAAAACTGCTTACTGTAAAGAAATGATGACTATAGATTTTCCTGTTCTGTCAGTAGCGGCGTGTGTCCAATACGTATCATTGGAAAATCTAGAATTTCCTACTTTTTCTAGTAGATGTTGCCCCATGGATTCAAACGTGGAGAATGGTGTAAGCCCCTGAAATATTTTCATTCTTTACTTAAAAATATGTTCATTCATATGATTTATTATTATTTATTTATTTCTCTGAAGGGTATATAAGTATCCTTACCAGAATGTTTCGATATCTGGTGAGTCTCTGATGGATTTTTATTGGCTCTCCTAAAAGAGACGCTCGTTTGAGGGCTTCCCTAGCCAACTCGATGCAATCTGATTTCTCATCTGGATGTCTGGTGATTAAGGAATATAACGCTTTTCCTGTAGTCTTAAAGAACATCTCTCCATCGCATTGAATGTTTACTAAAATAAGTAAAAAATCGAAATCAGTAAATTTGAATATATTTTTTTTCAGTCATGGATAACAGTAGTAAACTATCTTACCGTTGTGATTTTTCACGAAAAGTTGTGCCAAAGCTATCGGCACTCCTACAGCGAACGTTTTCCCACAATTAGCTACGATTTTCGGCAATATCTCCTCCCTATCGCCTCTATTGTCGCTATTTCTTTTCCTGATGACGCACTTCAGTTGCGCCAAGTCCAGGTTCAAGTTAGGAAACACGTCTAGTACGCAGGTTTCGAGCGCAGCCGGTGACATGGTCGCGTGACCCAGCAAGCATTGCGACGCGTACGTCACTGAGAGGGCAGCGGTGGGGTTGCACAGTGGTATAGTCTGAAAATAAACATTTTCAATTTGTTATAATTACTGTATGTATTTAATTCTATTTAGAACATATATGACTCGGCTATTTTCAGTTTATTTTTTATGATCCCTTAAAATGCTTGCACTAATTTCAGAGACGCTCTGTATACGTAGGGTTAGTATTAGTAATATTCTAATATAATATATTATAAACGAAGAATAAAATGTGCAAGGTCTATAATAATTTTTTTTTATTTATTATTTATTTAGCAAATTAAACTAATTCTTATTACCTATTTACGAATGTAAAATAAATAAAATCCGAAAAAAATTACCTCAATACCAGATTGAATGGCAAATGTGTTGACTAAAACTTGTAGACCCAACACATGAGAGTAGTATTGTTGAAGAAACTGACATGCCACTTGATCTATCAGTTGTTCTAAAGCGCTTGAAAGTGGTTGATAGACATGAACCCATTCAGTAGATGTAATTCTAAGAAAATCTTTATTAATTAATACTGCTAGACCTTCAAATTTCAAAATTAATTAAAAGAAAAAACGTTTTGAATTTTGTTATATCAACCTTGAAGAAAAACTGTTATTTCTAATGTTGGAACTGTTGCTCTTTTATTTAAAATAACAGTTTTCTGTTACTTACTAAATTTTACTAAAACTTAAATAGTAAAATTTAAACAAAACCAAAACTAATTGGGATATTTTTAATGAAAAACTTACTTGTGATGTACACCCTCCATAGGCATGTATGGAGCCATATTATAAGGGAACAAATGGTCCAGAGTTCTATTCAACATAGTATTATTGCTTATAAGGCCCATTTGCATCCTGTTTGATATGTTTAACTGTATTCCAAAGCTGCTAAGTGATAGGTTTTCTATGTGGCATTGTCTTTGGTGAGTGTCCCCTATAGAATCCTAAAACATTTACATACATTTTGAGTAAAAAATAAGAAGATAAATTTTGTAGTATCGTTTGTCCAACGAGTTAGGGAAGACCTGTGAATAAAAATGGCTTAAAACTGTCACTGTTTATGTCTCCTTTCGTTGGACAGACTTTAGTTGGTATCTTATTTACTTGACTTCTGGAACATATGCTTTTCCTGACATTTGTTATGTCAATGACGTAGGCTCCGGCACAACTATAATCCCTTCCGAATTTCTTATTCTCCTTCAGTAATTCGCAAATCTTCGTCCACAGATCATTCTCCACGTTCAAACTGGCATCCTGGACATCCATTTTGACGTACCTGTAACTATCTGACTCGTTCTCGCTTTGCTTCAAAGCAACCAGTTTAAAAAACGGTCTGTTCTGGTATTTATCCTCCTCAGGTTTGGTTAAAATCGGTTGAAACACTATGCAATTGCTGTGCTTGTTGTCCATTTGCAAGTAGTTCAATCGAAAATCGAAATATTGAAACTTGGTTGACTTTCTGAAGTGACAGTTAAGACCTGGGGTGTAGGTACGTCGCATTTCGGCGAAGAATGGTTTCAGCATGAACATTTTTTCGAAATCTATGTGGATGTAGTCTTTGATGTGGCATTTTTTCCATGAGTGGGATCGTTTGTATTTGTCTTCTATCCACGAGGCGAGTTCCAGGGTTAGTGTTTTCCATTTCTGACCAACATTTACCTAATAATAATATATTATATGAATATATAACTAGTGTAAGAGGTTTATAAGAACGATTTCTAATATTTTTAGCAAAAATACTTTAATTTGATTGTAACAATCATAAAAATTTAAAAGAAAATATAGTGCTGAATAGGTTTGTAAGATTTTAGAGACTTAAAAAATATTAGTAATATCGTCTTAGTATTATATTTTTACCTCCCAGATGGCAGGTGAGTCGGATATGCAAGCGTAAGCATGTTCTTTCTTGTCATTTTCACTAGTAAAAACGGAGAGTCCGATACTGGACATTGACAGAATCAATTCGAAGTAACAATGTTCGTGAAAATGAACTTTGAGTATGTTCTCAAACATTCCTTGTTCTTGTGTGAAAAGCAGCTTTCTTTGAGGTCCATTTCTGTAACAAACCATAACAAAAATATGGACGATGAAAATTACTTATTATTTTATTTTTGTAGTTAGCTTATCATAATATGTGTTATTGTGATACGCATCTTTTTTTGTGGATATATTTTTTTAATACATCACAGTAAGGGCTTGCCCATACAGAAATTATCATAAATTGTTATTAAGACACTTTTTTTCGATCATACGATAGAGTTTTAGGATATAATATTAATTATTTCACATTTTATCTCTTAGTATCACAGAATTATTTGATTGAGTTACGTACATAAAGCATGCCCAGTAGATGATTATTTTGTCTTTTCTGATTTTTTTGTGTAATGTATTTGGTGTGCTGCTTGAACTGTCTGAATCTTCACTAGATGACGATTCTTCTTGCTGACTTGTATTGGGCGTGACAGATTGGAACTTAATTCTTTCTTCACCATACCTTAAAGAAACATATTAAAAAAAATAAAAATAATTAAACAAACTTATTTTTTATTAACAATTAAAAAAAGACAATATTAAAACAATTTAAAAAAGGAAAAATTAAACAAACTTATTTTTTATTAACTCCTTTGGTCTTTTCTATCGTATTTTTCTTATTAAAAGGAATATTACTATTTTTTACCCGTCCTTGTTGATATCCAGCACAAATCCAGAACCTTTGTTATTGTAAACGTTCCATACAAGAGTTCTAGGCTTAGTAGGGTCGTCCCAAGTATACAGCAGACTGTTGAATGGGCTCATTAGGGTGACGGGACTTTGGTCTTGTTGCTGTATCTTCAAAAATAGGTCTGCGCAGTAGTTTTGGATTAAAATTGGACAGTCACCTGGCGAGTAGTTGTTGAAAGCAATGTGGAATGGTCCAGAGTTGCCTCCAGTTACGTCCACAGTAATGGCAGTCTGGATAAAAGAGATAAGAGAGCGACATTTAAGACGACTAAGTACTGTCAAAAATATGTATATTATATGAGATAACTTAGTAGGATTTGTTTACCCCTTTGTCCATTCTGAGCACGGTTCTGTGTTGACAGGAAATAAAGAAAGCTTGCGATATCGACTTGCTCTCTCTGTATTTTACATAGATCTGCATGGATGATGTTTCCGGCCAGAATATTAAAGTTTGAGAGGGTTCTAGGTCGATCCACAGGTCGGTTTTTTCGTTATTCTCCATAAATCTAAAAAAATATGTTTTAAACCATAAATAATAAATTTTTAATCAATATAAAACAACAATATTTGATACAAAGTAATAATAAAGTATCCAAAAATGTTCAGAAAATAAAATTAGTAATATTTCTAATTCATTGTTGCACCGGGCTGACTAACTGGAATTACTAAATTTTTCGTTGGGGATTCAGGTGGTAGCTGTGCTGTAAAAAATGTCATGTTTCCACATTTATTTATTTATTTCCTGACATTCTCATTCGTTTTGACACTTTAGTTTTGTATTACGAGTTTTTGGCTTCAATAAATTGTGTTGCGATTAAAAAGCTTAAGAACTAGAATACTAGTTCGAAGAATACTAGAACTTTTTACTACCAGACCTTGCAGTCGAACATTTTTCTTTTTAGAACCTTTTTTAGTGCGAAGTGTACAAGATAGCTTAATAGCCGTAAAAAGCTCATGGCAACTTTATTAGAATATTTTAAACGGGAAAGCGGTAGTAATGACCTTTTACGTCCCTTAAGTGCAGTTAAGGAGGTTAGTTTTGTTGATATAAATAATAACTGTTTATATATTTTTAATTAATTTTTGTTTCCTAAAATATTTTGATTAAAGGAAAATATGTAAAAGTGGGCACCGCTGTGCCGGTCAAGCTTAATCACGTGACTAAAAGTTTATTTGATATGAACTTAACTGTCATTAAAAAATCTTATTAATTATTTCAAGAAAACAGCTATTGCTTTGTAAAACCTTTTATTTTTTTAGAGCTTTTTTCTATAGGTACCTAATAAAACAAAAAGTGAGTACCTTAATGCTTTTTCTGTGTTATTGATGACTAAGAAACTGGGCAATATAGAGACTATCTTCGTCAATCTTGGACAAAAATTACTCAGGCTGGTGTTTAAAAAGAACAAATATTTCTTCTTCCTTTCATTGTCTTTACAAATGACCAATCCGGTTGTTCCTGAACATTCCACACCAAATTCATTGGACCAATTAGATTCGTACACTTTAACGTTTAGTGTTTGTTTGCAGTGTCTTTTGTAGGTGAACAGCAGTATATCATCGTTAGGGCAGTCGTTGATGGTAAGTGAGGATGATGCCTATAATAATTATTAAAATGAATATATAAATTATAGTCCAGAATTCCCTACAAGCAAAGGTGTCAGACAAGGAGGCTAATAACAAAAAGGGAATACAAGGAATACATATACTAATACTAGTACTATCTACATACCTTTATTTTTAACGGTAACCCTGTTTTGTTGACTATCCAATATGGCGCATAGAATATCAAATTACAACTGCCTTCTCTGTCACATTTGATGTTGATTGTCAAGTCCTTCGTCTCGTCCTTTTGATCTGACGACAGCAGTACCACTTTTTCGTCCAAGTGCCCAGTCACGGTCACGTGACCAGTCCAAATCGACGAGTTGTACGTCACTTTGACTGCCAACTTTTGGTCTTTGGTCAGGTCCAACGAGTACACGCTACATTTTTCACCTGGTTCTGCTTTGACTGCCTAAAAATAGACATTTTTTCTACTACTAAAAACAAATACATACAGAAATTTCAGTACTTACCTGTTTTAGAGTTATATTTTCAACTTCCAAAGCGTATGGTAGGAAATTGTGTACAGTGAGAGGTGGTAATAATCTAATGACGTAGTTAGGTACAGAGTGAGCTTGGGAATTGGTTATATTCAGGTTTTTCTTCAGCACGACTCTGAGAGCAAAGATTTCGAGGTTTGAGTCGTTTTTCGGATGGCATATTAAATTGTAGGCGGCATCGATTTCAGTTGCCATGTCTTTCCACCAGATTCCTGTTTGAGATGCATAGTGGCCTCTAAAATATATATTTTTTCTTTTATTACACATTTATTTATTATTTATATTAACATAGGTTTTGCTCTAGTCTTATTTATTATTAAAATTATGTGATATAGTATTTTAGATAAGTCTCTCTTGGGAAGGACAATTACCCCCATTATCCCTCCTGCATATCCCCTGGAGAATACTATATTCAAAATTTAATATTAATAAAATAAACGCACATTTCTTAAAATGAAGAACTGGTTATCGTAGTTTCTTCTATTATGATTAAATAGGTATTGTGATTTACTTTTCTGATTATTGTACAAAAATTGTTTAATAAAAAAATTATTTTCATTTTTTTGAACTATTTTTATTAAAAATATTTACATATTTTGGACATCTAAAACATTATTTAGATATGGATATCAAAATAGAGGCAATGTGAGGTAGAAATTTAAGCAGTATTATTATTGAATTCTTGTCTATTATAGAGAAAAATATTTAAATAAACTATACTTACTCGGCATAGGCAGGTTGAATAAAAAGTTTACAATGATAAGCTATGTACAAAGGAACGTTATATTTCTCGTGAGCTTCCAGAATAGCAATCCTCATCGTAGTTTCAAAAGGATTTGTGACTTCTCCTACAGGCTCTACGTTTATTTGTTGAAGCACGGAAGGTTGATACAGGATGTTCAGAGCAAAGCGGGTCTCATTTTGAATCTGTTTTCGAAATTATGTTGGTTTTAGTACCAAGAAACACTAATAAGTCAATTGATATTTTTACTTAGTTTTATAGAAATAAATAAATAAGTTAATGTGTGTTTTACATTAAAATAGTGATTTCAACTCACTTGATTTAAAAAGTATGATAAATAAATAGACATAAAGAATGAGTTTTTTCTTACTTGCAATGGAGAGCTGATATTGATTTCTCTGCCGCTTCTTCCTATGGTATGTTTAGCTGCCAGATAATAATTACGTAAAACACTTGGCGAATTGCTCTGCAACTTGACCAGTTTCTCCCAATTCTTCTTTGAACAGTTGGTTTGCACTGGAGAAAAGTTCGGCACGAATATTTTCACGTAATGCTTGTTGATTTTGTCAAATAAGTCAGAAGTGACTTCTGGAGGGAATTTTAAGCTTCTAATAGTGTTAAAGTCGTAACCCTGCTCGTAGTCGTGCTTCAATTCGATTTCTAAACGTCTAGAAAATAAGAAATTAGAAATAAGAAAAAAAGACAAAGAAAAAGAAGAAAATCATAAAAAATAAAAGTGATATTGACACTTAACGTAGAAAAAATGTCAAATAATTTGAATTTTTTGAAATAATATAAATAAATTGAAACTATAATACAATCAATCTGAGAATCTTTAACAAATTAGAAGTATAAAAAAACTAAACAAAAGTGAAAAAATAAAAAACAAACAAAAGACATAAAATAACATAAATAAATTGTAACTGTAAAACAATCAATCTGAGAATCTTCGAGAAATTAGAAGAGTAAAAAACTAAAACAAAAATGTAAACCAAGAAAAAATAAAGAAAATCACAAAAAATAAAAGTGATATTGACACTTAAAAAAGAAAAAATGTCAAATAATTTGATTTTTTTCTTACTCTTCTTCAAAAGCTACACTTTCTTGGTACATCAGATGTTTTGTGGGACTAGTTGGAGGACTATCTTCGTTTTCGAACTTCTTCAAACTAATCAGTATGTCTTTTTTCTCGCCATCTGATTGTTTTTCGTACAATTCCACCTTAGTGTGAGGACCGATGTCATTCGAAACGTTGATCGATTTTCTGTCGAGTTTGACCGAGATGATTTTTGTGGAATATTGCAAAACCAATTCATTGAAAATCTGAAATTTTAAGTATTTCATTATTTTTAATTGATTATTATTTTCAGAAATATATAGTCTGTCCAACGAGAACATTTATGACAGTGATAGTTATGTCTGTCATTTAATTCAAAAGTAATTTGTATTTTCTGTCATTTTTTGGCTGTCGTCTGTCGAAATATTCCGCGATTCATCGGATAAACTATATATAATTTATTTATACTAATAAAATGGATATGTACCTTTAGAAATGCTGGTGTTAAAGTTATATTTAGTGGATCTTTAGCATTTACCAACACATATAAACATCTACTGAAGGATTCTTCGGGCACTGGTTCTTTGGGTTTAGCACTTTCGGAAACGTCATTTTCATCTTCACTGGAGTGATCACATTCACTGTCATCGTGTTCATTCCAGTCACCTAAAAACATGGGACATTGGCTTTTGTATATGTATATGACAAAATTAATACTGAAATAATTACATTTCCGGACTTCTATTAACAAATCAGTTAAATATGGAGATTTTTATAGATTTTATTACAGGAGAGAACCTTCAACAAATTTGAAATGTAAAAAAATCTAAAGCAAAAATGAAAAAAAAAACAAAAGACATAAAATAATATAAATAAATTGGAACTGTAATACAATCAATCTGGGAATCTTTAACAAATTAGATGTGTAAAAAACTAAAACAAAAATGAAAAAATAAACAAAAAAGAAAATAAAAAACAAACAGAAGACATAAAATAATAAATAAATGGAAACTGTAATACAATCAATCTGAGAACCTTCAACAAATTAAAAGTGTAAAAAAGCTAAAACAAAAATGAAAAAAAAAGAAACAAAAAACATAAAATAATATAAATAAATTGGAACTATAATACAATCAATCTGAGAATCTTCAACAAATTAGAAGTGTAAAAAAACTAAAACAAAAATAAAAAAAAATAAAAACAAACAAAAGACATCAAATAATATAAATAAATTGGAACTGTAATACAATTAATCTGAGAATCTTCAATAAACAAGAAGTGTAAAAAAATAAAACAAAAATGAAAAAAACAACAAATATAAAACAAACAAAATACATAAAATAATATAAAATAAATTGAAGCTGTAATACGAACAATATGAGAATTTTAAACAAATTAGAGGTGCAAAAAAAACTAAAACAAAAATAAAAAACAAACAAAAAACATAAAATCATATAAATAAATTGGAACTGTAATACAATCAATCTGAGATTCTTCAACAAATTAGAAGTGAAACAAAAATGAAAAAAAAAATAATATAAAACAAACAAAAGACATAAAATAATATAAATAAATTGGAATAGACATGGATTGTTTACATGCCTGTAAAGAGATCTGATATAGCAGCTGCTAATTTCTCCATTGCACCCTCTTCATTTTCACTATCGGAATCGTCCAGAAAAGTGCTCAAACTCGTCTTCACTCTCCTGCTGCTGCTGAAATTCACCGTGTTCACTGGCTCCAAATACATCATATCTTCACCGGAGTCCTCACTTTCCGTGGTGGTGTAAGATCGAGAGGTTTTCTGAGTTTTCGAAATGCTCGAGCAGGATTTCTTAATCGCAGTTTTCTTCGTTGGTATGTCGTTAATTGGCATTGATTTGTCCTGGAATTAGTTTTATTTTATTTTAATTCTAATCACAGATAAACCATAATATAAAGACAATATGACCACAGATCATAGCCCTACCTTTTGAGTTATCTTTTTCTACTACTTGTTTCTCTCGTTTGATCTTGTCAATTGACGTATCTATATAAAAAATTGCTTACTTGAAATATTTTAAAATGGCACTCCCACGGTCTGTATTCGTTTTCTTCTACCACCACTGGATCGATTAATGGTTCCCATTTTTGAACGTTTTCGTTAAAATAATTCGATTGTATGGATACGTCTCCTGTACATGTCAGCATATAATTCCAGTCGTAGAAGGAAAACTCTACTGAAGACTTCAATAATATCACTTGTATCTGTTCTAGTTCGAATATAACCACTATTTCAAACTTTGGAATAGAAAAACATTGGTTGTACAGGTGGGTTGGTTGTGAAGGAATGATTGGCTCTTGCTAGAAAGTTTACGTTAAATTAATTTATTATTACCTCAGTACTTTTTATTAATATATTTTTATTTAAATATTAATTTTTGTCTATCTATCTATAATGTCTCGTTTTAAACAGACATTTCAATCGATTGTAATCTCAAAAGTTACTATGACGCCATTTTTTTCATCAAAAAAGGTACAATCTTTGGGTACAATAAAAAAGCATTTTTTTGACAGTTTTGTGTGTTTTTGACTGGTGTTTTTATTTAATTATTATAATAAATCTAACTAACCTTATTTACGTATGGCTCAATTTTTTTTGGTTCCCATAAATCTTCAGTTTCACTTTCCTTCTTGCTGAGTCTTCTATGTATCTTCTTTTCAATTTCTAATTCAGGTATTTTAAAATGTTCTACTATATCGTTTAAAATGTCGTTGACTGAATGAATGACCTAAATTATGTTTTATTAAAAATGCTTTATTATTTATTTAATTTTTTGAATTTTACCTCACTGCAAAGTTTGATATAAACTCCTGAAATATTCAGAGTGATTTTTTCATTGTTATCTTCGATATTTCTACTCAACTCGATGTCGCATTGCTTCAGAACAACGTAAGGTTGATCGGAATACTCGCTGAGATCGTAGAATAAGCTGTAGAGGCCTGAGAGCGATGTCACTAAGTTTAGGCGGTTACAGTGTCTTGAAAAGTCGATCAGTATTTCGCTTTTTGTTATAAAATACCTACAGACAAAGAAGAAAAAGACAGTTATCTACCTAATAACTAATAATTCAATATAGGATGATATTCTGCGAATTTGTTAATGATATTGTCGGGCATTGACGGAACTTTAGTTTGTGTCTGAGTTATTTCACTTTTAACTTGGACTATACTGTCATCTATATTATCACAGTTGTTGTGTGTTTATGCGATAGTGGAACATTTTTGACATTTCCGTTCTGTCAAATACGTTCTCACTTAAGGTACTCACTCATTCTGTCGTTTGCACTGATGGCAAAATCCCCAGATATCACCCTATATTTTTTTCTCGAGTTGTAAATGTTAACATAAAAATAATGAGTCAAAGTTCACTTAGTTTTAATACAGATCATCTTACCTAGGATTATGTTTTCTTTCTGTAAATATATATTTTTTTTCAAACGTCACAAAAGTATTAACTTTTGCGACGTGATTGACAATATAAAAAAGTCATTTTAACGCCTAGGCATAAAAGTAAAACACTTTTACGCCTAAGCATAAAAATATGAAAGTATATTATTAAACTGACATAAAGTGTCAAATTCAACGAGCGTGACTATAGTTTCTCGATATATAATTACATACAAGATATGACTTTTAAATATTTTTGCATTATTTGGAACGTTTGAAGTTGTTTAAAAAATTATTTGTAGTGTTTGAAAAAAAATAGCATGTTCTATTCGGAGTAAAAATGACTTTTTGTGCCTCGGCTGCAAAAAGTGTAATTTTTACTCCTAATAAAACAATATACTATTTTTGTCCTACTAAAGGAATTATTTATTTGTTATATTTTATTACTGTTTATGTTTAATTATGTTTATGCATTTTGTGTTCCTTTTGACCTTAGACTAATTTGTTTCCTACTAGAATAATCGTTTTTTGTTATATTTTTTAATATTTATGTTTACTGCACACATTTTTACCTATGTTTATATTATTTATGTTCATTTTAGTTTAGATTATTTTTTTCCTAATAAAAGAATCGTTTTTTATTACATTTTGTTACTATTTATGTTTACTGCATTCACTTTCATCTCTGTTTCATCTATGTTTATGTTTCTAAATTTATTTTTGGTCCTCTGCATTGAATAAAGTGAGTATGTTTTAGTTCTGAGTTTTGTGTTAATGTTGGTTTTTTGAAATAGAGGGTTTTAAATGAAATATAATCTTTCACTTAAATAATAGGGAAAAAATTTAAAAGTAACACGTTTATATTTCTAAATCCCGGGACCAATGCCGGGGTCCTGGGATCAAAAAACATAATTGCACAATCCTGGAATTGGAAATTTCGTCCAAATACGAAAAAAAAAGTACGAGAAATACCCTACCCTAATCACATTCAAAATTAAAATTTAAGTAAATATTCATTAAAACAATAACAAAAAAAGTAAATATGCATTACTACCTTTTTTTATTGGAAGTAGTTTCTACTAAAAACATAAGCTCAGGCTTGTTTACTCGCACTGAAACTGTCAAACTGCTATTCGAATTTTTTCTTTGATCGATCTTGGTTTCTGCTTCATACCCTTGATTGACAATTCCCAAATCTTGGCTATCCTTTGGTATACACTCCAAAACGTACAGTGCCACCTATCAATAACACAAATAAAATGTATTTTGAATGTAATAATATGTAACATACTCAACATTCAAATACTCAAACTTTACTTATTATGATTTTGTTTAGTCTAGACAGGTCTAGACAATTGTTTGACATAAGTCAAGTATGTCTTAGGTATTCTACCGATAGAGCGCTCAACTATTCTCTATTTTATGTATTTTTTAAATGGCGTACCTTTTCGCAAAATGGTATAGACAGAGATAGGCACATCCTGCCGACTATGACGTCAGCAGAGAGGTCTCTGTTTTTGTTTTGGTGGAAGGTGACATCAACGATTGGTGGTTTGTTGACAGTGATGTTGCAGATGTTGTTATTTCTGCCATCTTCAGCTGGAGAGCTCAAAACACTAGAAGAATAATGATAACATATAATTATACAATATAGAGGGTATTTTAACTGCTGTATTGCAGATACTCTATAATACTGATACTGTAATAATAACACTTCACATATAATTTTGCTTAATGGGCTATAGTATTTGATAGAATTATTTTTTCAGAAATATATTACTAACTCACATTTTGCTATGTATGTTTGCATCAGGACCAATTTCTTCGATCAGAATTTTATCTATAGATAGTTTACCATCGGAGCTCTTGTCTGTATAGATAACTACTGACGTATCTATATCATTTACTTCCAATTTACAAAGCCCATGGTTTAAATCCCTAATAGGCGAACTCAACAGCTCATTAGAGTCAAAGAATAAAACAATTTTTACCTAAAATATTCAGACCAAAATTATAGTAAGTATGCTGTGTTAAAATCGAACCATATTACTTCATCTATTTTACATTTTCCGACTAAGAATTTCTGCTTAGGCTCACAGAAAAAGGCCTCTAGTTCTCTGACGTCATCGTCTTGCTCGAATATCTCTGCAATGGGTGACTTAATTTGTTCGGGCAGTAGATCTACGATTTTTGCTTCTCCGATGTTGTCGGTATAGATGGCCATAATCATCGCCAAGTCTTTTTGGCCAAGGGTTACTTCGATTTTGTCCATTATAGAATCGATTTCCCAGGTTTTCTGTTGCGATTTTAGGTTGGTCAGTTTTTTGATGTCCATTTTTAGACATGTAGGTTCTATGAGAGTCTCCTAGAATGAAAATTGTACTTTTTAGGCGTAATCAACATTTTGCTTTAGTTGTTTTATTATCGTAATGCCTTTAATTTATTTTTCATATCTGTATATTTACCTGCATTTCTAATATAGATGTCAAACCAATGACACCTCTCGTGACAATCACTTCCTTTAGTTTTACCATTATATTTTCTGTCACTTCATTCTCTGATTCTTTGAAGAAATTCTCGATGGATAGTTTGCCTTAAACAAATAATGTAGCTATTACACCAAAAGATAAAAAAACGGCGTTACAGTAGCCTTTGAAATAACAATTTATCCACATTTCGAAGGTTACTGTGACACTATTTTTTAATCTTATGCACTTTTCAAGTTTAAAAATAATATATCAGTATTTTTACCTGTGTCTATAATCATGACGTTGGGTGAAGATGATTTTTGTGGTATAAGAAGTACAGGGCCACAAACGTTAATGGCCAGACTTATTTTTGTTTTATTCTTAAGTGTATCTGTGGCTGTTTTAATTGCACCCCTGACCAATCTTGCATATCTTTCGACAAAATCCAGTGCCTCTAAGTCAATAATGAATCTCTGAAACAAAGTATTAAAATACCGAATGATCGAAAAAAACGACGTCAAAGACGGCAGAGGAATGACAATAGATGATAATTTTGGCGAGGCCAATCTCTAAAAATTGACATAAAATTTGTCAAAAATTAACATTAACTATATATAGAAAGATTATAGAAAAGGATAGAACGTTTCGAGACACACAAATATATATTTCCAAAAAAGTAAAATGACGTCTAAATCTTGACCTCATCCAAATGAAGTCTAGAGCTTGAACTCGCAAAAATTATTATCTATTGTCATTTTCCAGCCGTCTTTGAGTCTGTTTTTTTTTGATCATACATTAAGCATAATCAGTGTCTTACCTGCAATTGAACCATCAATTTATACAAGAATATACAGTGTATTCGTCCCAGTTCAAATTTAAAATTGCCGTCGTATGTTTCACCATAACTTTTTCCGATCATTTCATTATTTCTGATGTGGGAGGCGTTTCTTACATATTTTACTTCAAAAACTTTATCTTCATCTGTATATAAAACCTAAAATTACACATTTATTTCTTTTATAATATTGTTTAGAATAAGACCGTAAATAATTGTTAAAAAATCAGGAAGTTTTTGGATTTTGAAAAATAAATGGGAATTTATTCATATAAAAGTTTTCGATAATTTTGTTTTACCCTATATAACCTATTAGGGTGTGTCTTAAATAAGTGCAAATATTTTTAAGAGGTGGAACAAAAAGACTAGACATAAGAAACATATTTTTTATTTACCATTTTTAAAATAAATTTAAAAATCCCAGTTATTTAACTCACTTTAAGTTCAGATCATTTTTATAGGATTATTATAGTAATGCCACTGATATAATTAAAAATAATTTTCGTAATATATTGTATATTAAAATTATTGTGAACTTATAAGCATACACAAATATCAGAGAGAGGGTGTTGTAGGAGGTGGCAACATTGCAGGACTTTGATCCACTGACAAGAAATTTTAGGAGAACAAACCTACTGCTCTAAAAAGTTTTAAAAAATGTTGATAAAAAACTTCATGAGAGCGTGTTTCTGGGGTCGAAATATACTACCAGTATAAACACACATATATAAACTTTGTATATTTGAACTAGGAGTGAGTATTTTCAAATGAACAATAAATTATTATCAATTGTAGATTTTTTAAATAAAAATACTTATAAAATCTATACAGGGTGAGTTTCCTGCGATGTTCTCTATGGGTATCTCGGAAACTACTGGAGATAGAAAGTCGGTAAAATGGAAAAAGAATTGCAGTTTTGTGGGATCATAAATATGCGCCTTTCAGATTTTTGAAAAAGTTCATGGCTTACTAGATATTTCGAAAAAAACTAATTTTGGCTGTTTTAAAAATTGTCCCTAATTCCATTAAAAGCTATTTTAGACAAAAAGTTTTCAGATAAAAGTTGTAGATAATCACATCCTTAATGAGACTGTGTCTTCCGTTTTTTTTCTAAAGTCTGTCATTTTTGACATATGACACAAACATATGTTTTTTTAAATGGAAACCATAGTTGGCCATGACTTCTCAAAAACCGCATATAATATATTTTCTTCGAAAAATTATCTAGTTATAGCCAATTTTTATCATTTTTAAATAATTTCACTTAGTTAGCTATGGAAACCAGTTTAATCGTCTTTGCTCTCATAAATGTGAAGCTGTCACATCCAAACTGTGTAAATTAAAATAATCAAAAATTGTAAATATGAATTTTTCAAATGAAGAAAAGCGTGTAAGATTATTGGTTCAACTTTTCTTGACCATACCTTTTCGAGGATACGTTGACCGGTAAATGTTACGTTTTTTTTTAAGTTTTTAAAAGTTAAATTTAATTATAGCCAATTCTTATCTTTTTTGACTAATTTCACGAAGATTGCATAGTATTCTTATTCTGTTATGATTTATAATTTATAAAAAGTCGGAATATATTACTAAATGGTTCTTTAGAATTTACATTACACAAACTAAAGCTTAAAAAATAATATCACTGCATACACTTTAAGTTATTTTAGAAAACGTTCAAAAAATCCCCCATTGTTTTGAGTTGCATCTTTTTAAAACTGAATTACTACTTATTCTCACAGAAGGACCAGTCGACTTAATTAAACTTCTCTTGTACCGCCATTTCGAGTGCCTCTCTTAATTCATAAGTAAACTTATGAAGTTCTTTTGTAAACCTTATTGTTAACCATACCGCATAAAAAAATCTCAAATTGATAGGTCAGGTGATCGAGGAGGTCCATGCAATTAGTCCACCTCTTCCTATCCCTGAGTTTGCATAATTATGATATAAATAATTTTTAACATTTCTGTCATTATGGGGGGGGGGTCATAATGAAAGTCATGTTGGAAACATATTATAGCTTATATCGCTAAACAGCTTAAAAAATTGCGCTCTTTATGAAGTCATGGCCAACTATGGTTTCCATTTACAAAACATATGTTTGTATCATATGTCAAAAATGACAGGCTTTAGAAAAAAGCGGAGGACGCAGTCTCATTAAGGATGTGATTATCTACAACTTTTATCTGAAAACTTTTTGTCTAAAATAGCTTATAATGGAATTAGGAACAATTTTTAAAATAGCCGAAATTTGTTTTTTTCGAAATATCTAGTAAGCCATGAACTTTTTCAAAAATCTAAAAGGCGCATATTTATGATCCCACAAAACTGCAATTCTTTCCCCATTTAACCGACTCTCTATCTCCACTAGTTTCCGAGATACCAATAGAGAACATTGTAGGAAACTCACCCTGTATAGTAGTATGAAAATTATTTATTATTGCAAAGTATTGATACAAAGATACATTTTCATAATATATCATTTCATGATACGCATCTTACTATTTTTTCAAGGAATATTTTGTGTATTATTGATATACCTAAATTAGATACTAAATATAACATATTGTAAGAGAAATTCTTAAAAATTATAATATAGTACTAAAAAAATATCAAGCAATATATAATACAAAATAAAGTAATATTTTTTCACTCTACTAGCTTGTTATAATAATGTTTCAATAATTTATCATCTTATTTATCAATATCTTACCTTAGAATAAAGCGTCAACTGTGACATGTGATCTACATTGATACTGCCCAAGTAACTCCTAAACACAAATCTCTCATTGGCTCTGAACAAGAAGTCAATTTCCAAACCAGATAAATAAACATTAACAATATCAAAATCAGAATCACACACCGTTACGTTGAGGTCGCTCATCCTGGCCGAATGAGAGAATTTTACTGATCCTGGTGGTACAGGTACTTCGCTTTGTTTGTGAAGAACTTTGTTAACTTTGTAGAAAAAACTTTGCAACAAATGTTTGAGGTACTGGGACGTTTGATGCTGGATCCTAAAAGAAACAAGAAAGTTTGGTTTAAATTTTATTTTAAGGTCAGTGATATTAATAAAATAAAAGTAGAATTATACTTACTTATTGGATAGATACTTTGAATACTTGATAATCGTGTGAAAGGCTTCTTGGTGGAGGAGGAGATGAATGGTTTCAAAATTGGCCACTAAAGATGTCTCGACTCCATGGAAGTGTGACCAAAAGTCAGGACAATTTGCGCTTACCTTTAAAAATAGTCTTATTAGTTAATAAATGAACATTTTGGAAATTATGTGTTTGTAATATTATAGTTTTAATGAGTAGAACTCACCTTTCTGTATAATATAGTGATGACATCAAGGTTATTGGGCAAAGGTGTGAATATTAAATCCAAATATTGCCCGCTAGGGGTGGTATGTAATTTATCTGTCAATAAGATACTGTGGATGGATATTTGATAAGCTGGACCATATGTCATAAAAGCTACGTCCATTGTAAAGTGACCTAGACGTAACGTCAAGTATTGTCTATCCGTACTATCGCTGGACTTGGAAAACACCATCGAAAACTTAAAATATATAAAATCAATTTGTATTTTTTCAGTCAGTTAAAAATTATTATTCTAACATATTTATTATGCATGTGTAATTTCATAAACATTTGTACTTTTTTCATAATTTAACTTTCTATGATGCACATCCTTTGCTTATACAATACGATAGAAAATAAAACGGCGTTATAGTAACCATTGCAATAAAAACCACTTATAATTTTCGTAGTACCAACCCGTAATACGTTATTAACATTTTACATAAAAAAATTGTAAAAAATTAGAGAAATACATTTTCAAAAAAAAAATTATTATTGATATTTTAATGGCTACTGCGACGCCGTTTTTATCAAATACAAAGATTTTTTAATAGATATGCTTGTAGAATCTGCATAGTATATTTAAAAATTTCTTATTATAACAAAGTATGGATACTTTTATAGAGCAGTCATACTTTTTTCATAATATATTTTTCTATGAAATACATCTTTTTATTTTTTCAAGAAATATTATGTATATTGTTGATTCGCTATGATTATAGGAGGAATTGTAAAAAATATAAAGTAGCTCTAAAATTGTTTTAAATTGCAAAATATATAATAGACAATTTTTTTATTGTATTTAATATATGTCCATTCTACTAGATAAAATGTGTTATAGAATATTGTTTTTAATAATGATTATCATCTTACTTCTTTGACTACCATCCCATATAAAAATTCAATATTATTTTTTGGTGAAATATTATCCTCTAAACCTGGTAAATCAACCGTCCTGGCCCAAGCTTCGTTCATGTTGTTTTTAACGTCATTTAGATCTATGCTTTTGCTAAAATTTCTATATTTATTTTTCATATCTTTATTTTTTAATATTTACACTTACTCTTTAACAAACTTATGTTCCTGACCATTCAGCAACTTCTGCTTTCTATATTTAAAGGTATCTGAAATACCGACCTTTTCCTGTACTTTTTTCAGTGTTTTAGTGTTGCATACTTCATATATTCTGTCTTTTATATAGATATCTGGTTGCATAGCATCTGTTATTACGTTGATTCTGATTTGATCAACGTTGAAAAATCTTAAAATCAACCCAATTTTGCGTTCTGAAATGTTCAGTTTGAAGGAGTTGAAGAGTATATTGAATTTCAGTCTGTAATAATACAACAAATATTATTTAAGTAAAAATATCTGTAGAACCATCGTTCAGCGTTATGTCTAAATGATGAATAACATAGTCTAAAACGGATGGTTAGATAAATAGCGATGACGTAACCTTGAACGAGCGATGAACAGACTATATTTTAAACTGTAATAAGTGTTTTACCCTGTATATTAGATATTTTGTTTATTTTTTCTTACCTAGGTATTGTGTTAAGGTCTAGGGCAGCAAGAGCAAGGACAGCATTGAAATTAGTTTTAGGAATAACGTGCATTTCTGTATCTTTTTCATTTCTAGCATCCTTCCAGTGGTCATGTTTATCACAGAATAGAATTTGCAGAGAGGTACAGTCTAAAATATAATATATAGGGTGTTTAGAAATAAATGTGTACAACTTAAAGGGGTTATACCTTGTTCAACATAAAAAAGGCAGTTTGTCGTAAAAAAACATTGGATCAAAAATCAACAATTAGAAAAAATAATGCCTTTTTATAATGGTCTTAATGGTTTAAATATAAACTTACCTATATATAGTTTAGAATATAGTTGTTCTTCTAGCTCCATTTTTGTGGCACTTTCTATTATATGCGTCTGGGCACAAATTTCTGTTTTAAATATATATTTTCCTAAATCAATCACCAACAGATTTTCTTCAGAACTAAGGACGTTTGTCATTAGTAATGTAGTTAGAAACATTATTAAAAAGGTAAAATAAATACACTAAATTAAAGAAAAAAATTAAAAAATAGACTTACCCTGAAGGAGCACTTGTTTCTGGTATAACAAAGTAAGGAAACTTTATATTTAGATTCAGGTCCCATTTATCCGAAATCTTTTTTGTTATAACTTGGTAGAATAGATCAGGTGCTTGTTTTAAATACTTTAATAAGTTTGTTCTTTGTGTCGTTTTCGATGCTTGCAAAAATACTTCGATATCTTCAAAACATTTCTAAAATTATGAAGTTTTGTTTTTTAACTAGTACCTAAATAATATACGATAAAAAAAGCGTCAGAGATGCCTTGGAAATAAAGATCAGTCAGATTTTTACTTACTTAAAAAGCTTACCTTATTATAAATGCATTCGACAGAACTCATCGATACTTGCAGTCTGTGAGTAATATTATTGTTCTCTTTTTTCATTTTCTCCAAATTGACAGCAAAAAAGAACGCAGGACTGTCTTTTAAATGTTCCGAAGTAGCTAGAGGTATCAGAGCTTCACCGGGACCATTTCCTTCAATGATAATTCCTTCTATTTTCAAGGAAAATTTATAGGTAGAATCTAGAAAATTTGGTTTCAGGGACACTATTGTCTGTGTAATCGTTGTGACCAAGATTTCTTTGGAATTGTTCATTACGACTAGATTGAAGTTGCCTAGTTTAAAATTGTAAGTGTGATCTGAAATTTTAATGTTATTTTAAGAAAATTACTATTTTAGTTTTTCATTTCTTAGAGTTTTACCGATTTGTCTAGATTTTTCTTCAACTTCACTGGAATATCCGATTTTTTCACATAAAACGATCTTTTCTGGTGAAGGCAGCAGTGACCAAAAGCTTTTTTCACTCTGGCTTTTCGATTGCATCTACAAATAAATATACAGGGTGACCAGGTGCTCCGAAGAAGCTCCATATCAGGTTTTTTTATTTGACATTTTGTATTACATTGTTTTTTAAAATACAGAAACATTTTATTTTTTTAAAAGATATACCGAGTGCGTTTCAAAAGAGGCTTACCCCTATAATTTTTTTTGTTTTTTCAGTTAAAAAAAAAAGAGTTTTGATATGTTAGTATATGACATAAATTAGGATTGATTGACGTATTCAATTGTTTCCGGTCACTTCCGGTTTCACTGGAAATGACTACAACTTTTAATTTTTAAATGGCACCTTCGGCATTTTTTTACTTTATTCGATAGAAAATAACACTCTGAACATAATGACATATCATATGTCAACATTTGACATTTTCGCATATGGTTTATTTGAAATTATAACTTGCGGTTCGTAACCAAAATTTGACTCGAAATACCAAGTGTGTGGTATCAAATTATTCGTAAAAAAATGCTTTTTCCAAATATGCTAATGAGCCACTCTCGTTCCATTTGAAAAAATTGAGATATGATTAAAAATATGATTTGTGCATTTTTTGACTGGCCAGGATAAGACATTAAAAACATTAGACGACCAAATCTATTTTTCCAAGGCTCCTTAATTAAGAATTAGTGTTCTTAACATAGTCACTCTAAATTGAATTTTAAAATACGATTTTTTATTAAGCGAGAACGTCAAAAGTTGACATATGATATGTCATTCTATTCAGAATGTCATTTTCTATTGAATAAAGTAAAAAAAATACCGAGGGTGCCATTTAAAAATCAAAAGTTGTAGTCATTTCCGGTGAAACAGGAAGTGATCAAAAACAATTGAATACGTCAATCAATCGTAATTTAAGTCATATACTGACATACCAAATCTCGTTTTTTTATCTGAAAAAATAAAAAAGTTATAGGTGTGGGCCATTTTTGAGACGCACTCGGTATAGTGTGTCGCGAATTTAGCAATTTTGTTGAAGATAAAATTGCTAACATTTGCCATAATATGACCTGCTTTGTATATCTTATAGTTTCCGAGATCTCAATAGCCACATTAGAATTTGGGACACCCTATCTAGGGTGTCTCAGAAATAAGTGCAAGTATTTTAACTGGTAGTATAGTTCGACCTCAAAAACAGGCCCATGAGGTTTTTTTTGCGAAGAAAAAAATGTTGCAAATTTTATTTTTTTCTTGATATTTTCCGGAAAATATTAAAAAACTTTTGAGGGCTGCTTGTTAGTTGCGGGAAATTTGTTTATAGTGCTTCAAGAGAATGCAATGTTGCCACCTCCTACGTTATCCACATTCTGTAAGTTATAAGTTGACACTTTTAAATTTCGATAAAAAAATACTTAAAATATAAATAGTCAACGTTTGACCTACATTTAAACAGACCAGCTGATGGTCTTTAGGTTATCCAATTCATTTGAGATTTTTTCTCAAAACAGTAAACCTCTGATAAAACTAAAATAAAAATAGGCAAATGTAAGATAAGCCTGCAAAAATCCTTTTATTATATTGAAATAGAAATATCAATTATTTTGATGTTTATTCACAAAAACAAGAGTGTGAGAGGTGTCAAGAAATAATCGGAATATGAATATATTTTGTGCCCAATACACGTGGATATTTTGTAGTACTGTCAAGAATCGAAGTGAAAAGAAGTGTTGCTATCTATCGGAGGTCGTTTTCTAATATTAGGTAAGTTTTTTACTTTTAATCTGAATTTTCCAAGTCGTTTTTAAATATTTCTAGTCGATGTGTCAACACTGGGCGTCGAACAAGCCGGGATCTAGGTAATTGCTTGGTATTTGCGGCTGATTATCGATTGCTGGCGGCGGCTCTCAAAAAGTTGCCATTATTTTTTTTAATTTTCAAAGTGAAATAACTCGGTTATTATTAATTTATTTTAAAAATGGTTAAGAGAAAATATGTTTCTTTTGGCTAGATCTATCACCCCTTAAAATATTTGCAATTATATCTGGAACACCCTATATAAATGATGCTCTAATTCAAACTATTTCTATAGAGGTTGATTCGTTCTGTTGAGATAAATAATTAATTATTTAAAATTTACTTACCAGTAATCTAGTATGTTGCCTAGCTATGACTACGTTTATGATAGACAAGTTATCCTCGTGCTTTTGCAGATCTAGTTTCAGTTCAGTATCATTAGGATTGGCTATGATCTGCTTGTAAGTCTCTATGTACTTTTTGTATTGCCCCCGTATAGTTTTTATTTTGCTCCAAGTGAGAGGCTTAACACGTTGTTCTACAGTAGCAAAATAGGCATATCTAAAATCATATTTTTTTTCTATTACAAATTACAATTTTAATTCAAATTCTTACCTCCACCATGCTTTGAGATTGTCTAAAACTTTTTCTTGGGGTCTGTTTGCTATAAATTGCCAACTGGTGGACATTCTTTCAAAATTATCCACCACAGCTATCATGGAGTCGTATTGTACTTTAGATATTTGTAGGTTGCAGTCTTGGACTATGATTTCGGTGTTTATATCAGACACGTGGCCACAGTTGGATTTCGTGATGATCATTTTTATTTTTGACATCATGGGATTGAGAACTAAAAATATGAGTAGAATAATTGCCTTGTTTTTGTTTTGTTTTTAAGTATGATGACTTTTTTTATTTAAAAAACACACACTGTATAATTTTTGTTTGATAAAAATTTTTGCTTACTAAATTTGAAGGGTTTTCCTTCATACGAGTAGTTCTGAAGACTATTCAGCATTGTGTTTCTCCACGTATAATATTCAGACGGTAAATTCCAAGATCTGGATTTTTGTCCAGTGTTCCAGTAAATCGAAATAGCATCAGTTTTTATCAGGTAATAGCTCGTGTCTGATTGAGATTCGTAAGTTGATTTCTTCCATTTGCTATAAAAAAAATAAAAAAAATTGCTAACAAACATGTACAGGGTGGTCCGAACTGTATTCTGGAAACTTCGGCAGCGTATTCTGCAGATAAAAGTAAGTAAAAATGTTCTTATAAATGTATGTTCTAAAATGCTTAGTTTTAGAGATACAGGGTGGAGAAGTTTAATTTTTATTTCAATTTTTATAAAATAATTTTGGAAGTAATGTCAATATTTGAATGAAAATTGGTGTCTGAGAGTTTTTTGACGTGAGAAATTTGATTTTGATGTCAATATGACTCTTATTTGTAAAGGGCACCACCTACATGTGTTTTAACGGCTTTGAAGAGTAATAACTTTTCGTCCGTACCTGTATATAACTACTGAGTAAAGAAATATACATTTCTGTGACTTTTTACGTAAAAAATGTCTCTTGATAAAAATCGCTACGAGCAACCGTTCTCAAGATATTTAGAACGGAAATGGTCAATACATGTCACTATTGACAAAAAATAAACACTTTGAGTAAATAGTTACTTGACTAAAATAATAAATTCGGGAAATTTTTATTTTTTTAAATTAAACATAAATTTTTCTGCGAAAAAACGATGATAAAGGACTTTACATAACTTTAAGGGACGAAAACATGTCAAATTTATGATTTCAGTCTAATAACACAGGCCGACATGATTTTTGTAACACGAGTCAGTTGCAGAATTTCTTCATAAAAATATGCTTCTAATAACAGAAAAAATACTCCTGAAGCTCCTACACGTACCACTTTTCAGTTGCCTAATTACGCCTCTTTTTTGCAGGTAGTCAATTTTATAGATGTCAGGTATTAAGTCTAGGTAGATTCGTTTACATACAGGTAAATTTTATGATGGGATGATTGAAAGGGACGCATTTTGTGCACTATAATATATTGTGAAAACATAAGAGAGTTCAGTTTTCAGTTGATTTTCGACGTGAGTTGTTCTATGCGTGTAGATAAATAGTACGAAAATGTCAAGTCAAAAACGCCGCAGTTGTAAAGTGTCTCCTGATCGATTTTGTTACATTTGTGGAGAATTTATGGTGCAATCACAAGCCAGACCATTTTCTGAAAATGTGAAGAAAGCCTACTTCAAGTATTTTGGAGTTTTGGTTGGAGATCAAGACAAGCAGTGGGCTCCTCATGTGTGCTGCGTTACTTGTAGCGTGTCGCTTGTGCAGTGGATGAAAGGGAAGAGGAAAAAATGCCATTTGCGGTTCCAATGGTATGGCGAGAACCAACTAACCATTTTGACGATTGCTATTTTTGCCTGACGAAAACTGAAGGTTTTTCCAAAAAACAAAAGCACAAGATCGAGTATCCCAATTTGCCGTCTGCCATACGACCTGTTCTTCATGGTGCAGATCTCCCAGTGCCGATCGCGCCCTTAGACTGGCAAGGTATTGTTTTGGAAGATAAGGAAGATATTGAATCAAACAGCTCTGGAGACCAGTGTACTGATCCTACCTTTACCCCAGAGGGCGGTTCCGACAAGCCACATTTGATTGTTCAAAGCGAGTTGAATGACTTAGTGCGTGACTTGGGGTTATCAAAGCAGCAGTCAGAACTTCTTGGATCCCGGCTTAAGGAATGGAATCTGTTAGCCAATGAAACAAAAATCACCACTTTTAGAAAAAGAAATGCTCCGTTCTCTGCATTCTACAGTATGGAGGATTCGTTGTGTGCATGTACTGATATCGATGGCTTAATGCAGGAACTTTCTATAGAACATTCTCCCTGTGAGTGGCGCTTATTCATAGATTCGTCGAAATATAGCCTAAAAGCTGTGTTATTGCATAACGGAAATTTAAAACCCTCTATACCAGTTGCCCATTCAGTGACAATGAAGGAAACTTATGAAAATATGCGCATGCTTTTAGATAGAATCAACTACAACAGGTATAAATGGCAGATATGTGGGGACTTGAAAGTTATAGGAATTTTAGTGGGACTTCAGGGAGGATTTACAAAATATTGCTGTTTTCTTTGTTTGTGGGACAGTCGTGCAGTAAATCATCATTATGTACAGAAAATTTGGCCAGAAAGAAGTGAATTTCAACCGGGTTCCCAAAATGTCAAGTATATCCCTCTTGTAGACCCCAAAGACGTCCTCCTGCCTCCTCTTCATATCAAACTTGGCCTCATGAAAAACTTCGTGAAAGCTATGAATAAAGAAGGTGATGGATTTAAATACCTAAGGCAAGTCTTTCCCCAGTTGAGTGATGCCAAATTGAAAGAGGGTATTTTTATTGGACCACAAATCAGGAAATTGTTGGACGACACAAATTTCACAGACACGCTTACCAGGCAGGAACTCAGAGCATGGACCTCATTTGTTAGTGTAGTGAGGGGATTTTTGGGAAACAATAAGGATGCGAACTACGAACAATTGGTTAATGAGCTTTTAGATGCTTATAAATCGCTTGGTGCCCGAATGTCTTTAAAAATTCACTTTCTCCATTCTCATTTGTCATTTTTCCCTGAAAATATGGGTGCTGTCAGTGATGAGCAAGGTGAGAGATTCCATCAAGACATAAGGACAATGGAAATTCGTTATCAAGGACGATGGGATCCAGCCATGATGGGTGATTACTGTTGGTTTTTGAAGAGAGAAGACGCGGTCCCTCATAAAAGGAAAAAGTAAAAGTTTTTGTTTATGTTTTGATCTCGTTTCGATTGTTTTTGTACTTTTTAGGTATAAGTAATGTTTGAGGAGTGTAAACTATAAAATATAATCGGTATATAGGCTTAAGAAGTTCTTAATCATGTTTTGAATAGCTATCTTAATATATTGAATATTGTAATATTGAATGATGTTTTATTAATGTAACAAAAAAACCTTACGTGTTACGACTTTTTTTTTTGCCACTTTCGTGATTAGATAGGTTCATTCTACCACAATATCCTATTGAGCTTTGTGTTACATCGAAAAAATTTTTTTTTGTCGGCCTGTGTAATTATTTAGTCAACATGTTTAATTTACGTCAATAATGACAAGTATTGATAATTTTTCTTCCAAATATCTCGAGAACCGTTACTTGTAGCGATTTTTACCAAGAGACGAAGAATTTTTTACTCAGTAGTGTTATACAGATACAGACGAAAAGTTATTATTCTTCAAACCAGTTAAAAAATACGTAGGTGGCGCCCTCTACAAGTAGGAGTCATATTGACATCAAAATCAAATTTCTCATGTCAAAAAACTTCCGGACATCAATTTTCATGGAAATATTGATGTTACTTCATAAATTATTTGAAAAAAATCGAAATAAAAATGAAACTTTTACATCCTGTATCTCCGAAACTAAGCATTTTAGGACATACTACATTTATAGGATCTTTTTTACTTATTTTGATCTGCAGAATATGCTACTGGAGTTTCCAGAATACTGTTCGAACCACCCTGTATATGACGGGAAGACATCAAAGAACCGCTTTCTAGCGGTCGAAATCAAACTCTTCTAAACGAGTAGTGATGCTTTATCTTATCTTTCTTACTTCTGAATTTCTTTTGAAGTTTCGATAGTGTTTATTAGGATTTTTTGAAGTTCAAATATGTTATTTTATTGTTTAGTACAGTGTTACTTAATGTATTAGTTATTTTTTGTTATATTTTTATAGAAATTTGTATAAATGTAAGATTCTTTTTCAAATTTAGTTAAGTTGGTTTATGCTGTTTGTTGTAAATTTTAAGTTACCTAAATTTTTTTCGTTTTTTTTTCTTCGCTTGGGTTAATTTTTGTGTTTATGTTAATTTATGATGACTGATTGCTTAATAATTTGATATTACTTTCATTTAAAACTCATTTTTTTATCGATTTTAACTTTAAAACCCATCCTTTGCTTGCTGATTGCCGAACGGCATCGTCATTGAACAAAAATTTGCTAGTAATAGAAGTACCGACAAAACCAGGAGTCCCGATTCCTTAGAGGCATGGTACCGAAATTTCTGGTTCCAAAAAACAGTTCCGGTTCCGGAAACCCTCCTAGTAGGTATAGAACATTATACTACACAAAATATGTTTAGAAGTGGTATCCAAAAAGCATAAAATATAAGCGATACTAATTAAACTTTTAGTTACGTAATCGAGGGCGCGATTTTTAAATTCATTGTTGCCAACCATGGACATATTCGGCTCCGGGCTGATTAACTGGAATTTGAATTTATTCGTTTTGACACTTTAGTTTTGTATTACGAGTTTTTGGTTTGGTTTGGTTTGGTTGAGATAAAAAATATATTTTGTTTTACTTTTTAATAGCGTACTTTCACCGAAAATAAACTGTAGTACCTAATAAATTGTAGTAGTATTGTGTTATTGTATTGTGCATATTTTAAGTTTTTGTGCGATATAATATCCAGTTTTAAAATTGAATTTACCAACTGTATTGTTTGGGCACAGCTTAACTAATAATCGAAAAAAAATTTTGAATGATGATTGTTTCGGATTTTCAACCTCTTTCTCTTGTGAACCCTCATAATAGAAAATAATTAACTAATAAAATTTTACATAAGGCCGAGCTTAAGGCTTACAACGAGTTAGCTGTCGCTTTAAAAATTGTTTGAAAAAAAAATTAAATAAAATATACAGCAATATTGTTATTGTTCTTGTTGGCAAATTCCGCAAATCATTCTCTTTATATCTACGTTCCATCACACTAAATTTCGATTAACTTTCATCAGAATATAGTCTCCCAACGTACAACTACAAGCAAAGGTTTTTTTACAAGAAAACACGTAAATTGAAAATTAAAAATGCAAATAAAGCAAAACCTCCAATAATAAAGCAAAACCTCGTCGCGAGCAGCGAGGACAGTACGCTACACCCGATGTTAGTTGCGTGCCGAGTAATGCTCGGGGATCGACAAAAAAAGGTTTCAGCATAAATCGTAAAATCGCCTGTATGGTCGCGAGCAGCGAGGACGGTACACTACACCCGATGTTAGTTGCGTGCCGAGTAATCCTCGAGGATCGACAAAAATACTCGAGACATACCGAGGATATGAATACTCGGATGACCGAGTATTTTTCACTCGAGTGATCCCATCACTAATATTTATAATTAATTAATTTTTGCTTCTGAAAATATTTTGATTTTAAGAAAATATGTAAAAGTGGAGCCACGCTGTGCCGCTGAAGCTTAATGACGTGACTAAAAGTTTATTTGGTATGATCTATAGGTAGTTTTATTTAAAATCAGCAATGATTTTTTATGATATTATAAAATATAACATCAGTATAAATAGAACAGTAACTTTTTTAATAAATAAGTGGCAACCTAGCATTTTTCTGTTTATATCTTGGGTATATACATATATTTGTTTTGAACAGAAAGTCTATTTATAATATTTCTCTGTATTTTTTATTGTTACCTGTTTGTTGTTTGAGCTGTGATAGAGCCGACACATAATCCAACAGCTACAGGACTGCTATAACTGAATTCATCTTCATATCTAACATGAATATTGGATATATTTAATTGGATGTAGTTGAGTATGTTGGAGACTAGATGCTCGGCAAACGCAGACGGACCTACAAGGAGTATGTATTTAGAATACTCATCGTATATACATCGTCTCTTGGACTTGTATCCATAAACATATTTTTACCTCCAAGAACTCCACCATCGTACTCCAGTATCTCCAAGATTCGTTTTTTGTACGCTCTAAGTAGTCTCTTATTCTTTTCTGGATCATATACCTCGTCACGTACGATAGGCTTTACAATTATGTGAACATCTTCGACATTGACTATTATGGAGTGGTTCCATAGGGCCGTCCAAGGAATCTGGATCCAGATTTTACCGATCGTACCAGCTATAACTTCGATAGGTAGTTTTAATTCGTACTACAAAATAGAATGACCCAATCAAAATATTTTATCAATATATTTGTTGGTTATTGCTTTATGCTAAAAATTATATACAAATAAAAATAACTACTATTACAAAAACAACTGGTGACAAAAAAATCCTAGAATCTGGTGGTCTATCCTAGAATAGTGAAAAAGATCACCAGGATACAGGAAAGATTTATTTTTTAAACTACAGGGGGTTAAGGGCTATTATACAGGGTGGTCCGAACTGTATTCCGGAAACTTCGGCAGCATATTCTGCAGATAAAAATAAGTAAAAAAATTTGTGTAAATGTATCTCCTAAAATGCTGAGTTTCGGAGATACAGGGTGTAGAAGTTTTATTTTTATTTCGATTTTTTCCAAATAATTTCTGAAGTAACGTCAATATTTGCCTGAAAATTGGTGTCTGGGAGTTTTTTGACACGAGAAATTTTATTTTGATGTCAATATGACTCCTACTAGTAGAGGGCGCCACCTACATATCTTTTTAACTGGTTTGAAGAGTAATAACTTTTTGTCCGTACCTGTATAAAACTACTGAGTAAAAAATATACATTTACGACGTTTTTTACGTAAAAAAAGTATCTTTGTAAAAATCGCTACGAGTTATGGTTCTCGAGATATTTGGAATCGAAATGATCAATACCTATCGTCATTGACATAAATTAATGACTAAATAGTTATTAGACTAAAATCATAAATTTCAAATGTTTTGGTGCCAAAAGTTCAACAGAAACTGTTTTATCATCATTTTTTCGAAGAAAAATTTATGATTAATTCAAAAAAAAAAAAAAATGTTCCCAAATTTATAATTTTAGTTAAATAACTATATCTACACAACACGTTTATTATTTGTCAATAATGACAAGTATTGCCTGATCCCATTCTAAATATCTTGAGAACGGTTGCTCGTAGCGATTTTTACCAAGAGACATTTTTTACGTAAAAAAAACGGAAATGTATATTTTTTCACTCAGTAGTTTTATACAGGTACGGACAAAAAGTTATTACTCTTCAAAACAGTTAAACTACATGTAGGTGGCGCCCCCTACAAAAAGGAATCATATTGACATTAAAATCAAATTTCTCATGTCAAAAAACTCCCAGGCACCAACTTTCATCCAAATATTAACATTAATTCAGTAATTATTTGGAAAAAATCGAAATTAAAATGAAACTTCTACACCCTGTATCTCCGAAACTAGACATTTTAAGACATACATTTATACGAATTTTTTACTTATTTTTATCTGCAGAATGTGCTGCCAAAGTTTCCGGAATACAGTTCGGACCACCCTGTATATATTATAAAAAGTAAAAAGATTTTTTTTCTATATTTATTATAATTTTCATCCAAGTGCTTTTACCGATTGGAATGAAATTTTGAGAGTAAAAGTTACTATAAGTGCCAAATATTTTACTGCTAAAAAAGTGTCGACAGATTAACCAGGGACGTGCATATGGGTTATTATCACTGAAATATTTTTCTAAAGGAAATATGTGCGCTTCTGACTTTTTTCTCTTGTTAGCAAAATTGTGCAACTTTAAAAAAAAATAATGCCATTCAATATGTTGATAAGTATTGATCAAAAAATATGAAATATCTATAAACATAGGTGCAGAAATACGAGTACATAGTTTTAAAATTACAGGATGTTAAAAGTTTTAATAACTAGGTCTTTTGTAAATATCTTAATTAGGATTATTTTTTTTGCAATTTGCTGCAGGTAGCACTAAAGATCAGTGATAAAATTTTTAATAAAAGTTAGTAATAAATTAGATAAAATCATTAATTTATTAATTTTATTTTTAATTTAATTTTATTAATTGTGATTAATAAAACTGACAAAATAAATATACTTTTAATCGACATTAAACGACTTACACAATTTTGCTAATAACAGAAACATATTTGTTTTTATATTGTTTTATTTTATTTTATACCTACAATTAAATGGTTACACGTATTTATTAAATTTTATGTTCTGTGAATAAATTCATTTGATATTTAATTTAGTTACTTAGAACTTTATATGGATATAATCTTTAACTAAACATTGATATTACTCCTTTTATAACATAAACTGTGAGTTAAATTTAGATAGATTATGACATCTAAATACTGAGATCAATAAACATATAAAATACATAATATATTATTGTCACGTGATTCTTAAGTAATATAAAATATTTTTTTTGGATATAGTTTTTCTCTTTGATAACTTTGCCCACCCTTACCAGAGCTTCCGGTTTCAGCTTCAGATCGGTCAGCTGAACTTTCCCTGAGAAAATTCCGACGTTTAGGTTTTCTGTGTCAAGGTCTTGGACGTATTTGCCCAACAGCTGGTTGAGGATTCTAGCCACCGTACCTTCCAGCATCTACGAAAAGAAAAAAAAATGCCAAAAATCATTTTTTTAATCCCAGATGTTTTTTCAATATAGGAAAATCAAAAGTGTGGTTATGTAATAGATAAATTTCATATTTTAGAGTTGAAATTAAAAATATTTTGATCTGTGTTTGTAGTGATTAATTATGGGGAAATATGAGGGGGTTTTACGTACCTTAAATTAATTGGATAGAAACAATGTTGTTAAAATATTTTTCTCGAGGATAATTGTGTGGAAATCATTTTCCGTGTTACATTTTATCGGTGATTTTCATCGTAGCAAGCGCATATCGATTTTCCGGAGTATTCCGGGCAGAGTGTGCGGGGGCGGAATATTTCCCAAGCTAAAAGCGCCATCTATGAACGTTTTTTAACTAAAATTTTGCTTTAAAACTTTATTTGAAAATTTTTGATATAAAAAAATTATTTGAAATCATTTTGACTAATATTGTTGGGTGTAAATTTTATTTGTAATTTATTCTCATTAATTGAATATTTTTTTGATTTCTTTTTCTGTAAATATAAAAAAAAAATATCTAGATTATGTATGAGTGATAATAACATATAAATATTGTCGATATAAATATTATAAAGTTGAGTCTTAGTTTAAATTGGCGCCCCGAGGCACGTATAGCTGCCCATACTTGATATTTTTTTTATCTCAAACACTGCGACTTTGACTGATTTTGATGTTATTACAAATTTTGTTGTAAATATTATTCCTAATCTTAAATTGAAAACGCGTTTCGCTAGGTACTGTAATTTTGGAGTTACGATTTTTCAAAATTTTTAACCCCATCCCATACCTCCTTACCAACCCCCCACCCCCACCAAAAACTAATGGCTAGATTCTCGGGTGCCACAGTATTTTTGTGCCAAATTTGGTTAAAATCGGTTTAGCGGTTTATGAGTTAGAGACAGACGGACAGACAAACACCATGAAAATATTTTATATTTAAGTCATTTATGACCCAAATAACTCATTTTGAGTGAAATTAAAAAAAATTTTTAAAAAATTAAAAAAAAACTACAGTATCTACTACGTTAAGTTCATACCTACACAAGAAAAGTAGAATATAAAATAGGAACACGTTTTCATGTAACTGATTTCAGTTATTCTAAAGTCGGGAAAAAGAGAATGATGCATTTCCGCAGAATTTTTTTTATGATTTTGTATTTGGGGAGGCTTATATACCGGGTGCGTCTTAAAAGTGGCTCACCCTTATAACTTTTTTATTTTTTCAGATAAAAAAACGACATTTGGTATGTTAGTATATGACATAAATTAGGATTGATTGACGTATTCAATGGTTTTAGATCACTTCCTGTTTTACCAGAAATGACTAAAACTTTTGATTTTTAAGTGGCACCCTCGGCATTTCTCGATAGAAATTGACACTCTGAATAGAATGACATGTCGTATGTCAACTTTTGACATTTTGGCGGCTTAAAACAAAATTGTATTTTAAATTTCAATCTAGAGTGCTATGGCTGTGTTAAAAACACTAATTTTTAATCAAGAAGCCTTGGAAAATATATTTGATCGTCTAATGTTTTTAGTGTCTTGTCCTGGTCGGTTAAAAGATGCTCAAATTGTATTTTTAATAATATCTCAATTTTTTTCAAATGGAACGAGGATGGCTCATTAGCATATTTGGAAAAAGCATTTTTTTACGAATAATTTGGTACCACACACTTGGTATTTCGAGACAAATTGTCGCTATGAATCGAATGTTGCAATTCCAAATAAACCATATTCGAAAATGTCAAAAGTTGACATATGATATGTCATTCTATTCAGTGTCATTTTCTATCGAATAAAGTAAAAAAATTCCGAGGGTGCCATTTAAAAATGAAAAGTTGTAGTAATTTCCGGTGAAACCGGAAGTGACCGAAAACAATTGAATACGTCAATCAATCCTAATTTATGTCATATACAAACATGCCAAATCTCGTTGAAACATACCAACACTTGAAAGAAAAGTATGGTTTATAGAGGCACGCCTAAAAACTCGAAATGTCAACACTACGTACGCAGATGTAAATAAAACCCTTTTTTAACATAGATGATGTGTAACCTAATTTGTACGTTAGAAAATTTAGTTTAGAGATTAAGGCTCTTGAAATCAACACGGGTTTGTAAACCAATATTGAGCGACAATACCATGCTGATTTCAGGAGCACGCGTTGTTGAACTGAACACGGAAACGTAAATACGCTTACGGGTACGCAAGTGAATTTGAGAACTATTTTCTAATAATTTAAAAAAGCAAAATTGGAGAAAAAAACACTTTTTTGGGGGTTTCTAAAATTTTCAGATTGATGAAAATAATTTTCACTTTGCCATTTTCATTTTTTCTCCTCAGTTTATAACTGTATATTTCAGTTTTTTTGGCTTTTTTATTTATATTTGTAATAAATATTTACTAAATCAAACACATGTTTTAACTTGGAAATAAAATATATTGATAACTCTACAACATTCACGCAATACATATAAAAAATAAGTTACTCAATTCGTACAAAATTATAACTAAAAAAATACAATTTTTATATATTATCTTACACCTTATGTAAAAACTAGAGAGAAAAAAATACAGCTTAATATTATAATAAAAAAATACATATAACACAAACTGTAATATACAGTTTAAAATAGCCTAACAATAATTAATAGATATATCTTTACATAAACTAAAACTAATTGTTCATATTTTTTTTGTAAACAGAACATTTATTGCAAATGCACAGTGAAAAGTTTTATTTACATACAAAAGTTTAAGTATATATTCATATTTTTAAAATAAAATATTGAATAATCCTTATGAATAAAAAACTTTTCTTTATAATTATTATTATTTTACAAATTCATCTCTGTATTTACAGTGTGCTGTCTTAAATAGTAGTATATTTTGACCCCAAAAACACGCCTATGAGTTTTTTCGCGAAAAAATGTAAACTTATTATTTCTCTGTACGTTTCAGAAAACTTTTTGGAACTGTATGTTTATTTTAAAATTAAAAATAAAACAAAAATGAACCAGCGACTCTCAAAATGTAGCCAATTTTTTTAATAAGATTTTTAAGGTTAAATAACTCGGCAATTTTGGGCTTATTTGAAAAAAAAATCGAAAATATAGAATATACTTGTTGTATCGACCTAATCAACTTACTGGAAATATTTGCATTTATTAAAGAAACACCCTGTAAAATAACAGTTGATCAAAGACGCCATTATACAGGGTGAGTCTTAAATAAGTGTAAATATTTTCAGGGCTGGTAGATCTCATTAAAAGAAACATATTTTCTCTTTACCGTTTTTCAAATAAGCCCAAAATAATCGAATTATTTTACTTTGAAAATTAAAAAAAAAATATTTTTTTACTTAATTTTTGAGAACCACTGGATCTTTTCTGGGGTTTCTTTCTTGTAAATTTAATCTATTACCTATGTTGCAATATTATCAAGAAATTATGTTTTTAACTAACAACTAAAAAAATTTTCCAAATATGTCTGGGATCGAAAAATATACTACCCCTAAAACTATTTGCACTCACTCTGTATATAGAGATTAAAACAATAATTTATTATTTATTATCAATGAATAATGAATTTATAGTTGTACTAGAGTGACTGTAGTTTAAATGCAATTTATAATATACAGAGTGATTCTCTAATTTGTAATAAATTCAATAAATCAGACATATTTATATTTTCTGTATTTTTTTGTGTTTTAATGATTTTGTATTTTAAATTGTTTTTCTTTGATGCAAGAAAATGTATACAGCATGTTCTAAATTTGAGATATGACGTTATCCACAATTTTTTTTTTAAATGGTAGCTCTATTTTTTCATAACTTCTTAAAGAGTTATATTGAGGTACACATGCTTTCATATGGATAAAATATTCAAAGTAGCTAATTATACATGGCAACACCGCTTAGTACTTCAAATAAAAATAGTATACTATATGCAGTATTGTACATAATATGTATTCTATAAAAAAATGGAGGTTGCAATTTAAAAAAAATACAACTTTTTCATTATTTTTTTTTTGTGAATACTCTATATTTTCAAAATATTTTTAGGATGATATGCACTTTTTTTCTTTGTTCATACGATATTGGACTTTCTCGTACTAATGGGCCACCCTATATATCAAATTTGGGAAAAGCTGTTTAACATTTTCTAATATAAAAAAGCGCCAACTTAAAATAGTAATCAAAGCGTCCCGGCAGTTTTCCGAAAAAATAGATATCCTTGATTTACTGAATTTATTCCAAACTAGAAGAGAATCACCCTGTATACATGCGATAAGTATAATAAAATTCTACCAGTTTTATTTTGACACACACTTGCCAATAATTACGAGGCTCATATTGCTTACATAAATTATTATTTATTGTCATTTTTGAAATAATTTTAAAAAAATTTTAATTAAAAAAATTTAATTATTTTGATAAGTACGTAAGCCTTATTATTCTCATTTATTACATTTATTATAATGCGATCTTGAAAATAATACACAACTATTTATATTTTTATTATTAGAAACAATTTGATCAAAATTCAAGCTTATCATAATAATAAACAAATTTATATTATTATTACTATTTTAATTTTTAATACTAATATATATTTTTTGAATTCCGTAAAAAGTAATAATTTTATATACATATCATACTATTTAAGTTTCTAGTTTCAAATTTGTACATTTCTTTTATAAAAATAAAAAATTATTTTGACTAATATTGTGTGTTGGGTGTAAATTTTATTTCTAGTTTATTCTCATTATTTGGAATATTTCTTTGATTTCTTTTTCTCTAAATATAAAAAAATCTAGATTATGTATGAGTGATAATAACTTAGATATATAAAGTTGAGTCTTTGTTTGAAAAAAACGTGAATTGTATTGTCATATTTGCCAAATTGACATTTTCCTTGTATAAGAGTATAATAGTATTATATCTTTAGTATAAGTACAATATCATATTAAGTTAGAAACATCTTCTTTTTGTGTCACATACTGTGTGTTCAAGTTATTTGAACACACTTTTTATATTTATAAACATTACCAAAAAATCACGCATAAAAATTATTGTTTGTTTTTCTTGCGTCGCCATTGGTAGATGGCGTTGTAGAATTTCTGACACTTGGTTGTGTATTGTGTAGCGTATTTTCCAAAGGTTTAGAACCAGTTTCTGGTAAAAATAAGGTTGAAGCTCCTCCAACGATACCAAATATCGCTATTACTAGTAGGGGAAGAGATGTATGTAGATGCACCTGAAAGGACAAGTAAATAATATATTAAATATCAATAAAAATATCAAAGTGTAAATTTAAAGTTCTTAGATTGCCTGCATATGGTCTAACAAAATCATAAATTGTTAACTATATTCGATACCAATTAAACTTTTAGTTACGTAATAGAAGGCACAATTTTTAAATTCATTGTTGCCAACCATGGATATATTCGGCGCCGGGCTGACTAACTGGAATTTAAATTTCCCGCTGGGGATTCAGGTAGTAGCTCTGCTGTAAAAAATGTCAAGTTGCTACATCTATTTATTTATTTCCTGGCATTGTCATCCGTTTTGACAATTTTTAGTTTTGTATTACGCGTTTTGGTTAAAATGAATTCTTTTGTGATAATTTAAGCTTAAAAATGTTTAATAGAAGACTTTGCAGTCGAATATTGTTCTTTTTAGAACCTCTTTTAGTGCGAAGTCTACAAGACAGCTTAATAGCCGTTGCAAAAAACTAACTGCAACCTTATTAGAATATTTTGAACGGGAAAACGGTAGTAATGGCGCTTTATATCCCTTAAGTGTTGTTAAGGAGGTGAGTTTTATTGATGTAAATAATAACTGTTTATATATTTATAAATAATTTATTTTTGTTTCCTAAAATATTTTGATTAAAAGAAAATATGTAAAAGTAGGCAACGCTGTGCCGGTCAAGCTTAATGACGTGACTAAAAGTTTATTTGGTTTGATCTTTATGTATTTATCTTTCATTAACTAAGTATGATTTCTTACCAGTTCCCATAAGTAAGGTACCAACATCAGGGCTATCCCTGCCGGTACGTTTGCTGCCCCCACCCCAATATTCCTGATGATGGTAGGGTATAATTCAGCTGTAAAAACGGGCATGATTGCGTTAGATGAACTGATGCAGAACTTGCTGGTCATGGTAAAAGTGGTGATTAACCATTGCAAGTCTTGCGATATCCAGGAAACGGGAATAGCCAATGCGGCGAATATTCCAGAAAATATCATTGTGAGAGCTAGGGGCCATCTCCTGCCTCCCTTGATCAGGATGAAGATGCTCAAGGCTACTGCTGGTACTTCTACCAGGCCTGTCAATACCTGGTGAAACAAAAATATGAGTAAAAAGTTTCTGAGTTTACAGAGTTTTTTACCACAACTTGTTCATTGTATGTTTTTAAACTTATATTTATATTTTAGACTTGATTATACGAAAACAGAAAGATGTAGAAACAAAATATTTTATGGGCATATGTGGGAAGGCAATGTGCACAATTTAAAATTATTTTGAAATGTACAGGGTGTGTCAGAACTAAGATCCATGCTAAAGTTATATTTTTTCTTATGGAACACCCGGTATTTTATTTCAATTTTGAACTCTTGGACATAAAACAAGGCATTTATTATAAGGGTTCAATATCTTTAAAAGCTTTGGTTTTTGATATATTTAAAGATATTTAAATATGCATGCTATAATAAAAAAAATTGTCAACACCTTGTACATTACTTCTCAGAATTAATTCTTGTGCTGACTTTCAAGCCAGAGAAATAACCTTTACTAAAAATTTTTATTGCTTTCTTAAATGTATACAGGGGTATCAAAAATTACTGGTCTGCATTAAATATTTATTTTACATAAAAACTTCGTTATTTTAAATGCAACACTATGTATTTTTTTAAATAAGTCGAAGCAGATTTAAATGCTCTTTCAAACTTTAGTATGGATCTTAGTTCTGACACACCCTGTACATTTGAAAATAATTTTAAATTGTGCACATTGCCTCTCTACATATACCCATAAAATTTTTTGTTTCTACATCTTTTCGTTTTCGTATAATCAACCGAGGCGAATGAGGTGCGCCACCCTGTACAATTGGTGAGCTGTATTTAGGAGCTTTGTAGCATATTTACCGAATTTACGTATATATTTCCTCCAATGTTGCCAATGTTTAGTACCAAACCGTAATAAACCAAGTACACTCCGAACCATATCAAAAAGAGTATCAACGTTTTCGTTCTCATTGGTGCTGTTTTGAAGAGATCCTTCACTCCAACGTTTTTGTTCTCTTCCTGGTCACCCTCTTCGGGTATAAGTTGCTTATCAAGATTTGAGGGAAGCTCTTTGTTGTTCCACTTTGCTGCGGTTTCCAAAATTTGAAGCACTTCCTTTGTCCTGCCCAGGGCCAGAAGCCAACGTGGCGATTCAGGCAGCAGAAACCTTCAAAAAATGTTATCCAAAATTAATAAATTATTAATGAATATACAGGGTGGTCGAACTGTATTCCGGAAACTTCGGCAGCATATTCTGCAGATAAAAATAAGTAAAAAAGTTCGTATAAAAATGTATGTCGTAAAATGCGTAGTTTTGGAGGTACAGGGTGTAGAAGTTTCATTTTTATTTCGATTTTTTCCAAATAATTTCTGAAGTAACGTCAATATTTGGATGAAAATTGGTATCTGGAAGTTTTTTGACATGAGAAATTTGGTTTTGATGTCAATAGGACTCCTATTTGCAGGGGGCGCCACCTACATGTCTTTTAACTGTTTTGAGGAGTTACTAACTTTTCGTCCGTACCTGTATATAATTACTGAGTAAAAAAATATACATTTACGTGAATTTTTACATAAAAAATGTCTCTTGGTAGAAATCGCTACGAGCAATCGTTCTCAAAATATTTAGAATGGAGATAGTCACATAAGTTTTCGGAATACAATTCGCACCACCCTGTTAGTCGGTACCAAATTAGCTGGGTCGGCTAGTATTATGACTGGTTACGAGTCTGTATCTTTACTGTTAATAAAAGATTTATAAAAACATACCAAGTGCCCAGAAAGGCTACTCCTGGTAAGGATACTGCCAGTTGCAAGTGCCTCCAATCCTGCAGCAGATAAGCTAATCCAGCAATGGTACAATAACCCAAGGAGACTGGAAACAGGTAGGAGATGCCGGTGATGGTTCTCCAATGACCTCCAACCAGCTCTATTGCCAGAACGAAGCCACTGAAGACCACCGATACCGAGAAGAAGCCCAGACAGCATCTGAGGACGACGTACAGTTCAAACCACGGAGCAAAAGCTACCATAGTACCTAGATAAAAAAATATTTCGTATCAATTAAACTTTTAGTTACGATTAATAATCGTAACTAAAATCGTTTAGTTATGATTAATAATCGTAACTAAAATCGAGGGCGCGATTTTTAAATTTATTATTGCTAACCGTGGACATATTCGGCGCTATGCTGACTAACTGGAATTTAAATTTTGCGCTGGGGATTCAGGTGGTAACTCTGCTGTAAAAAATGTCAAGTTGCCGCATTTATTTATTTATTTCCTGACATTCTCATTCGTTTTGACACTTTAGTTTTGTATTACGAGTTTTTGGTTTAAATAAATATTGTTTCGATACTTTAAGCTTGAAAATGTTTACTAGTAGACCTTGCAGTCGAACATTGTTCTTTTTAGAACCTCTTTTAGTGCGAAGTGTACAAGATATCTTAATAGCCGTAAAAAACTCATCGCAAATTTATTAGAATATTTTGAACTGGAAAGCGGTAGTATCGGCCCTTTATGTCCCTTAAGTGCTGTTAAGAAGCTGAGTTTTGTTGATGTAGATAATAACTGTTTATATATTTATAATTAATTTATTTTTGTTTGCTTAAATATTTTGATTAAAAGAAAATATATAAAAGTGGACAACGCTGGTGCCGGTCAAGCTTAATCAGGTGACTAAAAGTTTATTTTGTATGAACTCTATATAATAATTTTTAATATTTTTATTATATAGGGCGTTCTCAAAAGTGACACCCCTATATATTTTTTTTTATTTTTTCAGATAAAAAAAACGAGAGAGATATTTGGTATAGATATACCTAGAGTATAGACATTACTTATCACTATCGGAAAATTTATATTAAAATAAGAGATTTCCTAAAAATTGTGTTCCGGGATTTTTTATCCCAATATTTGGTTTTTAATGTGTGCCCTGTTTTAATATACATACATTATTCTCAGAAGATAAAATACACTGAACTCATCATAAAACAGTATTTACAATGTTTACATAATTCGTAAGTCTAGTCTGTCTAGTAGGTAATTACAGTCTATTCAGAACCGACTCACGATCATTTGCACGGGGAAAATGTGCGTACCTAAATATATCAGCAGCAAACCCTCCATTGACGCGGGTGATGCGTCGCATCCCTTCAAAATATTGTATACGTTTTATTTAAAAAGTCACTGAGATCTCCTATAATAAATTAAAATTTTCAGTAAATTTATTCAAATAATTAAATTCAATTTCATTTATTTAATGTGTGTATTGGTCGAGCTTTATAGGTAACGCTAAGACCTACGCTAAACGCTAAAAATAAAAATGTCATGGCAGCGCGATGATGCGACTATCCTCGTTACATCTTGAACGCCGCCGAACGCGATGCGAGGTCAGCGAACGTTCCGCGGCCGCGATTACCTCTCCCGTTCGCTGTTAGTGATGGGTGATGCGGTTTTTTAAACACATTTTGTTTGCGACATAAAATAAAACATATCGTCGGCGCCGTGCGTCGCGATGACCGATTCTAAGTACGGCTATAAAATAGAAATAATTTTGCAATCATCCTTCAGTTCTATGGTGTATTTAGAAACATTAAAAACTATTGAAAAAGCATATTTTGAATCTTATTTTTCTTCTAGTGCAAATCCATTAATGGATGTTTGCGATAACATTTTCCATCACTTCTCTGTTCCTCTGGCGGTGTTTGTAGGCCTGTTCGCTGTCTAAAATTCCTCAGCCAAGACGTTTTCTTCCTTCCGATACCCCTCCGGCCTTCGATCTTGCCTTCGATTAACAGATGCAAGAATTGATATTTGGGGTTTCGCATTATATGCCCCAGGTATGCGGTTTTTTTCTTCTTAACGAATTCAAATAATTCGCGCTGTTTGTTAACACGTCTTAGAACTTCTTCATTTGTTAACCTAGCCGTCCAAGGTATCTTTAGAATTCTGCGATATAGCCACATCTCGAAAGCCTCTAGTTTATTAATGGCAGCTGCTTTCATTGTCCAACCTTCCATACCATAAAGGAGCACCGACCACACGTAACACTTTAAGAATCTTAATCTGAGGTTAAGGTCAAAATCAGAACAGATAAGTACTTTTCGGAACCTGAAGAATGCCTGCCGAGCTTGTTCGATGCGACAGTTAATTTTCTTATCTGATATCCAATCTTCGAACAGCCAGATGCCCAAGTAGGTACTTAAATTTATCTACCCTTTCTATGGGCTTTCTAATATTATAATGAAGTTTTTAAACACATCTAGATTTCTGGACATTATCATAAATTTGGTTTTCTTGATGTTCATGTTTAAACCCATTGATTTGCTCTGTTCTCCTACCTTGTTGACCAGTTGTTGTAGGTGGTGCATATTATCTGCAATCATGGCCGTATCGTCGGCGTAGCGGATATTATTAATCCACACTCCGTTAACTTTGACTCCAATTTCGACGTCCTCTAGAGCCTCTTGGAAAATAGCTTGAGTACAAATTGAATAAGAGTGAAAATAGCACACAACCCTGCCGTACCCCCTTTTAACTTGTAGAGGATTGTACATGGTATTGGACAATTTTATTTGTGCTGTTTGGTTTCAGTACAAGTTTTCGATGCATTGAATGTCTTTTTTGTCTATATCAAGCCTTTTGATATTTTGAATATTAATATTAAATTAAAATCATGTATTCGTCGTTTTAGTGAAAATGTTTATAAAAATGAACACTGGTTATGTGATTGTAAGGCACTCAATAAATTTTTTTGTTCGCCTTGTCTACTATTTTATCTAACAGATACGTTCACAGCTTTGTTTTTTATCTCAATTTAGTTCTTTTTTTTAATTGGTTTGATTATTTTTTTTATCCTGTTACTTTTTTTTGTATATTTTAATTTTGTAATTTCAAAACAAAAGACTTTAACAAAAAAAAACTTTATTGCGTTGGTAAAATGTTAATTGCAGTTACATCCCCTTGAATTGACACCACGCTACGCCGCTGAAACATACGTTTATCTTATATTATGTAACAAGTCGGGGTTTGAACTCCATTGAAGCTTGTATACGAAAATAGAGACATCATGTGAGACGCGGATACTCAATAACAAGCGATGAGTAGCTGGTACTAAATAAGCTGTGGTAGTAACAAAATTAATAAATGTCTCAGGTACTTACCCAACGAACACTGCATAAAAACGGAAGCTATCAACGTTTTTTTTCGGCCATATTTATCGGACACCATACCACTGACCAGTCCTCCTACTGCGACCCCGGCCAGAAACATCATTTCCGAAAGGTTGATCAGTTTTTTCCTGTCACACACCAATTGAAAATCTGACACAATCGTGCTACCTAAAAATTATTTGTAGTTATTTAGGAATTTTTTGTAGTTCATAGAACAGTGTTACCTTCCCCAGCGAACAACCAATTGGTGCATCTCACCATCGTAGTATCAGTGTTATTCGTGCATAAATCGGAGATATTGTCCGAAATTGTTTGTGTTATCCAGCAATGGTCGGACGATTGACAATTTTCCCACTGGTCGAAGTCTACAAATTGGAATTGTGTCGGCTTTTCGCACCTTCAATAAAAATAATTGAGAATAAAGTTTACAGTTTAAAATATACCGTATGATACCAAAAAAACGGCGGTATTAAAAAAAGTTCGATAAAATTATGATACAGTTATACATAGTTGTCCTTACCAAAAATCTCTGTCTCTGGAATGAAAGGTAGGTGCGAATATGTGCCACGTACAAGGTATGTTGACCAGTGACAGGATAAACGTCAGCAAGAGTTGCCATCTTCCGAAGTCTCCTATTGATTTTGATATAATATCTTCTTCGTTTTCAGCTTTTTTGCTTTCTTCCGGCATTTCTGAAAATAAAAAATGAATATTGAAGTTGCTATGTGCTAAATAAAAATATTTATGTTTAATAATATGTAGCTGATTTTGGTCATTACTAATGCCGGGTCCAGACCAAGGCGACAGAAAGTGAACACGATTTTGAGACAAACACAAGACAAACCTGCGACAAAAATGATAAATTCAGACAAGACAAATTTGAGACAAAGTATCTATACCGCGAGGATAAAAGTATAACAAAGTTCAGTATATGCGAGTCAGTTTTATTAATTATGTGGCCTTTCTACCAAAAAGAAGATAAAGATAGATTACTAGCAACCAGTAGTGTTGTCTTTGACTCGCCATCCTATGTTGCAAAAAGAAATCCCAAATAATGTTTTTGTTTTTATTTCTTCTCGTATATTATATAGTTATTAATATTTCTTATTTTTTTCTTTACATCATCAATCGAGTTTATATTTAATGCTGAACAAATTTCCTCTAATGCACCAGCTTTCTTGTAACAATTTTTGTGGTCCTTGTTTTTACCCTCCCGTAATAATAAATGCGCTCTATAAAGCTTTATTAGTTTGCAGGCATTTTCCGTGTTCCACTTTCTCTCTTCTGATTTTTTTTTATAAAGATGGAGCACTCCATCATATACTAATGTCATATACAGACCGGACCACCGTAGTAGTAACATAGGCAGAACCGGACGAATTAGTGTATACCCGTCCGCCGGATAAAAAGCAGGCGAAAAAACGCGATAAAATAAAAATAGGTAGATATGTGATAAGAATGTTTCGGAATTTGTATTTATTCGTGTTTTAATAGCCAAAACGAATACATAGATTCTCGCGACAGTTCTCGTGTAAAATTTATTTTTTAAGTAAAATAATGGATGTTTATGAAGCTCGTGAGAAAATTCAAATTGTAAAATGGTATTTCCAAAATAGGTCTTATCGGAATATACAAACAATTTTTCCAGAAACTTTTGTAAACAGGCCAATTCCATCTTAACTACTGTATCAAGAGTTATTAATAATTTTGAAACACATGGGTGCGTGTTCCCACAAAAACACAAAAAGCCTGATGTGTTGATTAATGAAGAACAGGAGTTAAAGCAAGTGTTCATTTGTGCTACCGCGGATCAAAATCCCACGTTTTCAAGTAATCAAATTGCTGAGGTGGTTGTCCTGCCCACAATGCCCGTATTGTTCAAGAATATTTGAACAATACTTTTCCCAACCGTTTAATTAGTGGACATGGAACTATTTTTTGGCCCGCTAGATCACCAGATCTTTCTCCCAATGACTTATTTTTGTGGGGTTATGTAAAATCCGAAGTGTATGGTCATAATAGGGCTAATAATCTGGATGAGCTTCAAGTAAAAATACGAGAGGCTTTCCAAACTATTAGCCCTAACATGTTAGCCAATATATTAGTATTTTAATAAAGCACGCTTTTAGATGTTTCAAAAAACTTTTAATAAGAGTAACTTTAACTCAACATATATGTTTCGGCTTGTTAGGCCTTTTTCAAGAGTTTTTTAAGAACTAATCGTCTAACTACACTGTAACTATATATATATATTTACTATGGGGGTGGGTTCAGAGAGTTTACAATAGGGGTAATAAAAAATGTGTTTAGAAATCCTTGTTGGTCGTTAACATTATTTTCGTTTTTAACAGATTTTTGTATTTCTAACTGTTCAATGTAATTTAAGCGTCTACCTTTTGTTTCTCTGTGTAGTAACTTAATTGAGTTTTCATTAATTTTGTGATTATTTACTATACAATGAGTTGCAAGACCAGAACTATGCTGGAGATTATTAATAGACTTTACATGTTCTTTATGCTAAAGAGAAAACAAAAGAAAATATTAATGAAAAATTTTTATTCCGCTAATTCTAAAGACAATAACAATTATCGACTTTTAAACTACATTCCTAATTTAACTAACAAAATTTCAAATAATCTCAATAAAATAGGATGTAAAACTATTAACGTAAATAAAAGAAATTTAGGTCAAATTTTATTAAATAATAAAGACAAAACTAATGTCAAAAATAAGTCGGGTTGTATATAGGGTGGATTGCAATGATTGTGATGCCGTGTACATAGGCCAAACAGGTAGAAATTTAGATATAAGGATTAAAGAACATGTAAAGTCTATTAATAATCTCCAGCATAGTTCTGGTCTTGCAACTCATTGTATAGTAAATAATCACAAAATTAATGAAAACTCAATTAAGTTACTACACAGAGAAACAAAAGGTAGACGCTTAAATTACATTGAACAGTTAGAAATACTAAAATCTGTTAAAAACGAAAATAATGTTAACGACCAACAAGGATTTCTAAACACATTTTTTATTACCCCTATTGTAAACTCTGTGAACCCACCCCCATAGTAAATATATATATATATAGTTACAGTGTAGTTAGACGATTAGTTCTTAAAAAACTCTTGAAAAAGGCCTAACAAGCCGAAACATATATGTTGAGTTAAAGTTACTCTTATTAAAAGTTTTTTGAAACATCTAAAAGCGTGCTTTATTAAAATACTAATATTTCAACGATGTTTCACAAGGAACCAACCACAGCTTCAGTACAATTTATGTTAGCCAATGTCAGACGGGGATTTTACGACCGCCTAGGCAGAAGCCTAGCACAAGAAGATGGTCTTTTTGAACACTTGTTATAACTTTTTCTTATTTAGAGTAATATTTTAGTTTTTTTTTGGGTTTAGAGAATTTATTTATTTTTAGTTTTGGCTTGTAAACACACTCAAATAATAAATATTTAAGTATTTTCATTTTAAATGTTACCTTAAGTGAAGATAAACACTTAAAATGAAAATAATAAATACTCGGCACTCCTCGCGTCGTATATTCCTAGTCTGTCACGACCGACCCGTCCAAGCACAACTGCAACTGCGTACTGCCTGACCAGCCGACTAGCCGGCAGTGTATCTCGAGTACGAACGCAAAACGGGTAAACGTAAATTCGTCCGGCAACTTGCTATGAAACTAGTAGCCTGGTCTTCTCTGTATAAGCAGTACTCCACAGTACTAAATTTCTAAATTTGTAGTATTCTATTAGTCTCCTACTTTTGGTAACGCACGAAATCCACACTGCACCGACAACATGTCGTAAAATACACGACAAAACAGAGACTTTTTGAACTTTACCGATTCGAGACGGGACATTCAAAAGTCTCCGAATTTGGAAACAAAACAAAAATGAACGAAAAAAGGAATGTATTGGATTTGTCGCAACTTTGTCGTAAAACATGAATGTTTCTGTCTTGTCGCTGTTTTGTCTGCTTGGTTTGGAGCCGGTTTAAGATCAGACGAATTGCCAAACAGTATAACATTAAAACAGTGTTTAAGCTTGGAACTACTCTAAAAGTGTCTAACTACTGTTAGTGAAACAATAAGTCAGGTTCATCATTGTCTACCATTTTCAAACAATTACTAGCAAAGAAATTGGGTTTAGATAGTTATATCTGCTTATAGTACCTAGGTACTAATTCTCAACTGGATTCGGTATATGTTTTTTTGTTAAAAAATTCCAAAGATGTTCCAAATTAACCTCTGAATCATATAATGTATACATATATGTTATACGAATACATCAACAAGATAGAATATTAACCTTTCATGTTCCAGGGATTTTTTTTAGAATCTAACTGTTTATTTCTTTAACAATTATTTTTTCTTTAAGTATAAAATTCTCCCACGTCTTACTGGAAGTTTAGTTTAATAAGAACCGTACAGTATAAATAGAATTAGTTAAAACATATTTTTCTGGTTTATTTATTCTGAAGTAGAAAATTAATAGATTTCTATGGGCGCATAATTTAACTGAGCGTAAATATTTTCAGTTTGCTTATTTTCAAACTTATTTTTTCACGTGTAGAATCGTTAGAATATAATGTTTATTCTTTGTTTCGCTATATAAATAAATTATTATGCTTGGCTGTAAACTTATATACAATGTGTCAAATTGCTAAATATTTACTACATTTTTGTACAGTGTTGAAGTTGTTTTGAATCCACAGACCAAAATAAAACTGAAATCGAACAATAGTAGAAATTCATAGAGATATTATTTAAACGATATTTTATAATTGTTTTGGTTGACTGAGTTGTGCTATGGTACCATTCCATAGCCAATAGAAGTATTTACATTTTGTAGATCTGTAATCTGTCACTTCTGTCTTATCAACTTTATTATCTTTTCCCTATATGTTAGTCTAAGCATGCATTGCTCCATTAGATATTTGTCTTACTTTGAGATTCCTTATAAATTTTTGTATCAATGTTTTACAGCGATTTGTCTTGAATGACAGTAGATATCAATTAATCAAATGTTTTTTTTTAGATCAAGTTGCATTTTAGACTTGTAGATTAATAGAATTCTTCCCAAATTATTTACATACCAATTTCATTCTTCTCTGTTAACTTCCCAATTAGTGAAATAGAGTTATGTATCAATTCATTCAACAAAAGTATGATGAATGATTCTGTGTGGAAAATGGGGAAACACCAGAACACCTCATGGAGAACTAAACTCTGTAAAACCATCTCAGATACTGGATTTTGTCAAATTCATGAGACTGTATGATGAGTTATAACTCCCTCCCATACAATTTATCATCTACAATCTCTTTAGGACTATTAGCAATTAAAACAATGTGATCAGCCAATTTTGGATTGAAGCGTCGTTATCGTCTTCTTTTAGTTCTTTAATTTGTTGAAGATGTTTTCTCCAAAGTTGTGGTGAATAGCTTTGGAGTGATCGAGTCTAATTGATTGGCTTTTTCGTTTGTGAGAAAATTTGGATATCCGTTGTATATTTTATTTATACATTGTGTACATTTTCTTTATACTGTTTGTCTATGCATTTGTGGGTAAAGGTTTCAATTTTCTCCAGTAAAATTCACCCGTAAAATTTCAAAATTAAAGACATTATCAATCCAAGAGTATATAGTTTACACAACTTTCAGCAAGTACTACTATTGAATC